TGGTTGTCAGTGACTTCATTTCCCGCTGCCAAGTCAACATCTGTCCACCTCGAGCGTTGCGCCATCCTACACCAGGGAGACGGAACAAGGCCCTCCTACATAAGCGGTGACCAGGTATGCGTAGCAAGTGCCCGAGCCAACACAACTTATTCAGTGCTATCTGTTGTTCTAGGGAGCTAGCATGATTATCACTACCTAGTACTCGCCTACGCACATCATCGCTGGGGATACGCTGGTGCCATCCGACACCAGTAATGCTTCGCAAACAACGATGATCAAAGACTTGAAGGCGCTTCAGATCTTCAGACCGAAGGGGCCAAGTTTCATTACCATACAGCAGAACGGCCCTCACTGTGGCCTTGTATACCCGGCCTTTCAGACGAAGGGAAACTCCCTTCTGTAGCCAAAGATGACGCAGGTTCAAGAAGGCAGCTCTGGCCTTTACAATGCGTGAGCTCACGTCAGTTTCTATGCGCCCATCATTGCTGATGCAGCTGCCAAGATAAGTGAAATGATCAACCACCTCGAGTTCCTCGTTAGCAAGCGTCAAGGGGTCATCAAGTGGCTAGTGGTCCTGCAGCAGCACTTTGCACTTTGAAGGTGCGAAGTGCATACCAAATAATGGGACCACTCTGGATAGGCTATTCAGGGTTGATTGTGCAGCCTCAACATTGTCGAAAAGCAAGGCGATATCGTCCGCATAATCTAGATCAACTAATCTTTCACCAAGCAGCACTTCAACGCCTACATCGTTGGATTCCTTTAGGGAACACTCCATGATAGAATCCACGACGAAATTGAACAAAAAGGGGGAAATCAGACAACCCTGAGGAACGCCACTTGTAGTCGAAAAGCTATCCAATGGGACACCATAGACCCTGATGCGGCCTGTAGTGTTCGAGTATGGAGCACGAAGGGTGTTCACATATTTCGTGGGAACACCTTTGCGCGCAAGTAATTCGAACAGAATCGATCGATCGACTAAATCAAACGCACTCTTGAAATCGAGGAACACAGCTATTGTCGGTCTGCGGTATGCGTGGCGCTGCTCTAGCACCTGCCGCAAAGTAAATATATGGTCTATATAGCCACGTCCGGGACGAAAACCGACCTGTTCTTCCCTAATCCGAGATTCCCGTTCTGCAGTGAGGCGACGAACGATAATCGAGGCCAGTAATTTTGTCACAATTGGCGTTAGGCTAATACCCTTGTGGTTAGAACAGTCTGTGCGACTGCCCTTTTTGTATATTGCCACTATAATCGATTCGCTCCAATTAGCCGGCACACTCTCTTCGTTCCAGATACGTTCGAATAGGGAGGTCAGTGCCCTGCAGACGACCTCACCTCCATCCTTAAATAGTGCAGGTGGGAGGGAATCCGGGCCAGCGGCAAGAAAGCGATTGAGGGCTGTGATCACGTTTCGGACCTCGGCCTCCGACGGAGGCTCTAAACTAACCGTCCATGGCACGTCCTGCATCACCTGAGTAGGAAGAGGTCCGGGAGCAGGGGGCCAGCTGAAACGATCTTCAAAGTGTTCAGCCCAACAAGCCATACGGTGCTCTTTATTATGTATCAGCGCACCCGCGCTGTCTCTTACTGTCTCACTGACTCCTGGTTTTCTGGGACCAGTGGTGCGGATTAGCTGAAAGAGCTTGCGGTAATTGCCTACTGCTCCTGCCTCCTCGATTTCTTGAGCCCGACTGATTCACCAGGCTTCCTTGTCAGCACGTAGGCTCCGCTTTACTTCACGCCTAATAGCCCGTCTGGTCACATTGTGTTCAGAACCAGCCAGGAGGTATCTTCTAGCTTCCAACAGGTTCACGGACCTCTCGGATATCCAGTGACTGGTGCGGTGACAATTGATGGTGCCACAAGCAGATGCTCCTGCGTCGTGCATGGCGGCCGAGATCCTATTCCACTGAAGTTCAATGTCATTGGGACAAGACAGCGAGAGTTCGCTATGCAGTGCTTCTTGATAGGCTTGCCTGACCGAGGGCTGGGACAATTTCTCCGTCGCTAATCAGAAGAGACGCTTAGTGCGTCTCCCGGTAAAGTTCATGGAGAGACGACAGCGTACCAAGGCATGATCAGAGTCGACACAGGTACTCCAATACGAGCGACAATCTAGGATGGAACCGCGCCACCTGTAACTTTTGGCTATGTGGTCAATTTGGGTCCATCGCTGACCAGCTACAGGTGGACGCCAAGTGGCACTTCGGCGCCCATTGTGTCTAAAAGCAGTGCTACTAAGAAACAACTGGTGCTCCGCACATAGTTGCAGCAGACGCTCACAGGTGTCAGTCCGTTCGGAGTTAAGTCCATAATTACCACCCAGCTGAGCTTCTGAAGAGCTCAGACGCCCTACTTGTGCGTTCATATCCCCTGCAAGTACTATAATATCTGAACTAGTAGCACTGCGTAGTAGGGCGTTTAATTCGTGATAGAAAGTGTCCTTGACTGCATTAGAACTGCAGTCGGTGGGAGCATGAACGGAAATCACAAACAAACAGCGTTTTGTTTTACTTCGCGAATTCACCTTAGCTGATGTCGTCAAACGGGCTGCACATAAACGGCTGTTTACCGGAATCCAATCAACCAACGATGACTCAGCCTTGGAGCTGAGAATGATACCTACACCAGCTTGACCCGTGAGTGCTGCATCGGCGTCTCCGGATGCGTGCAACCAATAACGAGAGGATAAGCCGGGTGCAGTCAATTCAATAACCCCGTTAGGGTATTTAATCGTAGTTTCGGACACACAACACACATCAACACCCAGTGTGTCCAAGGTGCGTGCGAGTGCAGCCTGCTGACCTGTTTGTCTTAGAGTGCGGACGTTGAATGTCGCCATGGAAACGGGACGGCGTGGCCTTATAAGGGACTTTTGCCGATAGGCGTCCGATAGGTGCTTTGTGGTGGTGGCTGCAGATGGTTCTACTCCAGTAGCACTTCGGTTGCTATCAATTAAGCTGGGAATTATAGAAGGAAGGTTAGCAATGGGGGCCGGGATGGGAGTAAGAGTAAAAGGTGGAAAAGAAAGAAGGTAGGCGCCAAGCTGAGCTGATGTTGCATTCATGATGCGTCTTCACCGCAGTCGGGCTAAACCAACTTACACTTAAATCAGGCCTTTTTAATGTGGGTAAAATTCGTTACACTTTATTTGGTGTGTTCTGCGTACTTGATAATCTTCTCCCAACTTGCACACGTCGCTCATGCAAATTGTGGCAAACTTGCGTAATTGTATCGCGTGGTATTTTTTAGATAACGCGGACATTTTGTACTTATCACGGATTCACTTATAACCAATTTCTTCTATATGCTCATTTAGCGAGTATTTATGTCGTCATATGCATTTACTTTCTTCGATATCGGCATTTTGAGTGATTGGCTGTTGTTTGACATCCTAGGTGTGGCTGCGCTCGATGTGCATGTTGACAAGGTGCCTACCTGTCTATTACCCACTATCACGTCCATCAGGCTCCAGGAGACAGTTGGTCGTTGCTGGAGGGGACGGGGTGCACGGTCTTTGTGGTCGTGCTAGGCTCTAAGAGTGGTTCCATGCACTCAGTGTGGAGCGGACTACGGTCCAGCCACCGCCTTGTGTGCACTTGATTCCCCAAATACAGCGTGCTTGTGTTTGCCTGTGAAGGAGGGTGAGCCGGCTCCGTTGATGAAACGTGGCTCCCATCCACATGCCTCCCGGTATTATTGTTTCGGGTTTACACTGGATATGGGGTGTGAAGATGTAGCTGTGGGTGGTGCAGCGCAAGCCATCCATGGTCCCTCTGTGGGCGCAGGCGTCATGTGGCTGGCCACAGTGACAGGCCAATCCGAAATCGGATGCCGCCAACCACATATATATATATATATATATATATATATATATATATATATATATTAAGCTATAGTAAACGCATTTGGAAATGATGGTAAAGAAGTCGTTATGCTTCTGTCTATGGACACCAACGTGCTGTTTATGAATGGGCACAGTGCGCATAATAGTCGGGACCTCGCACAGCTCATATAGAAGATTCGGGAAGCAGCACGCGCGCAGTTGGCCGTCAAGCAAAGAATCAGTTAGTAACCGGATACTCAGGCCCGTGTGCCAAAATATACAGACTATCATTAAAGTTCAGCAGGTGCTCGGTCCACATGCTAGTGAATGGAACTACTGCAGAAATAGCGATCAGAGTACCTACACTTCAATGCACTCGAAGCGCACATAAAGTATCCACAATCAACGGGGTCCGATTTGCCGATTTCGTGTTCTCCCATGATCAGCTACGACAGGCAAGCGGAGCAAAAAATGAATAGAATGAATGCGAGGTGACAGAGCGAGAGGTTGTAAGGTGCTCGAAGTGTACGTGAAATATACAACAAATTAAGGACAGTAGTCCAAGGTCAACTACTGTGCGTATTCTTTCTCTTGCTTGTGTCGATCAGGAAACATCAGAAACAACAGGAGACCGTCCGAGAGTCAGGAAGCAATGTCCAGCTTGGTGGTTTAGGGGAGGGACTAGAACAGTGGCAAATACAGTATCTGCAAACCTTGTCAATTAGAACTACCAGGGTAAGGTGCACGAGGCGTCCTAGTCAATTTACCGTGTATCCAGATGCCACACAAGCTGTCAGACGTTGTCTACTGGCAGCGGCCGAAGTGATCGCCATCAGGTTTCATGACCCTGACCTATGTGCGCATAAGAAATTTGTCAAGGTACTCACTATGCCCTGGTCCCCTATAACACCGATACATAGTGCGGACATCACACAATCACACACACGCACTCTTGATCGTCCTGAGACCAATCACCTAACTAGGTCAGTTGGACCCTCTGAGCTTTTGAATCTGTACCCTTATATGATGTTGACTTTCATGTCATTCATTTGCGGTGTATAACCCTGAAAAAAATCAATGAAAGCGACCTTGTTCGCGAATTTTTGTTTCCGAATAATAAGAGAACAGTTGAGAAAAATGAGTGAAATCATATCAACAAGCGCACCTTTACGGCTGTGGAACTTCGGGTCCAGGGGAGAAGCGTCTGCAGCCAAACATTCCTCCCAATCGCCTAGAATCACTTCGCAGAGCAGTAGCAAACCCTCTGGCTGTGATTGGCTCATGAAGCAGTAGTTCGCAGATTTGCTCGCTGAGTCGGCGAAGTAGATGCCCTTTCCGAACATATAACCCGTGACTGGAGCCTCAGGTGGAGCAATGCGCAATCCTTGAGACCTATCAAAATGGCATGGGTTAGCAAAGAGGTGACAGCCGAAACAAGTAGATAGACAAAATGGCTGAACATCAGAGCAACGATGCGGCAGTCATCGGCACCATTATCAAAATGGACCTCCCACAAGTATGAGGAACGTAGCTAGGCATACTTCAGCTAAACAAATCGAATGTAATCCGGACGCAAAAAGGAGGTGTTAAACTGCCTTGACTTGTACCATCATAAATAGTATTTAACACCAACGGGGGAAAAGAGGAGGAAAGACAGCTGAAGGTGATTTCGAATAAATTTCATGACTGTTTGATGAAAGCGTCCATAGCTAAAGGTGTGGAACTGAATACAAGAGTACCACTGACGTCGCAAATGCGTCTTGTCGAAAAGTGTATATCTACAGAGGTGGTGAGTTCTGATTTGCGCATCCAGGAGTGCGACAAACACAAGTGCAATTCACTCATTCAAATGTTCACCAAGGCGCTATTTCGAGCGATCAGCTGAAAATAGAGCCAGTAGTAACACTGGCTGAAGAGGACGGACTGACTACTAACCATTGAATCTCCGTGAGTTTTCGGTAACAATGGTTTGCGGGTGCGAGAACACTGGCTCAATTCAGTAGCTAGAGTTCGTGTCGAAACAGTTTTCCAGCCGGTGTAACACAGAGAGTGAAAGTACACTCACGTAGTCTAGTATACCAGAACGACACAGTAGGCTGGAAGAAGCGGATTACGGGGTCTACCGATAACAGGTCGATCAGTACTCAAGTTCCTTTTGAATCTGTTCCGTTCGCTGATGCTTACCTCACCGTGTATCACAAGCGAGAAGAACGACAAACCGCCACTATTCAAAAGAAACGAGAAGCCAAAGATCAGTGAATGAGGACAGGTATAGTAGTTCTGATCCCAAGTCAGTTCGATTATGTGGTCCCATAGCAAAATCCTTCGCTGAATAATCTTTGTTTTCTGATGGAATTTGCGATAACGCAGGTGTTTCTGGGTAGTGAATATCGGAGTGGACAGTGACAGGTTTGGAAACAATCGGTTAGTGCATCTGCTGGGTAACATCTCACTCTAGCTACAAAAACCTCGCCAGGTCAAGTGAAGCAGTGGATAATTAGTGCAGGATTTACTTCAGACCTAGCTTAGAAGCTGAGTGGTCAGATGTTTCTCCTTCCGGTGAGCCCACAACGACTGCAGCTCGAGCATGTGCATTGTGAAAATAAGAAACCGCACAGACAAGCCAAAAGTGTCCTAACAACGTATGACACCTACGTAAGACACAGATGCAATGAATCTGAGTTTAACGCGATTGCAGGTAAGTAACCATTGAACAACAAAAAGCGATATTAAAAGTTTAGAAGGAGCGCAACTGATACGCAAGTTGTGTACTACAGGCAGTCAGTGTTATTGGAGCAAGTAAGAATTGGAAAGCCGATTAGCTGAGTTGAAATATGAACGTGATAGGTGATATATTTAAGCGCCCTGGTAGACCAGTAAAGGTTCAAATTTCATATGTGACCAGTCAAATGACAAAACACATAGGTCGATGTAATTCGACTCCAATGGTTTCCAAGGTAGAAGTAGGGTGGCATACACAGGAGGAGCAAACCTGCGCCCCTAAGCAGCGATAAAGCTTCGCAAACTAATAGCAGACAATGTTTCAGGTACCAGACAATAATCGAAACGAACTGTTACGATAAGTTTGATTAAACCATATAAATAAAGGCGATAGTGACGGAGCATGCATCGACAGAAACGTTTCCGTTGTCACGGGAATCCGGGATCGATGTCTGAAGGGGTAGTGAGTTAATACAGCGTGAACGAAAGAACAACGATGCTGAACAAACTCACGCGTCCGGAATACATTAACGGCGGCTACAATGTGGCTTGTTGCTGGCTAACGTGAAAAGATTTGTGAGGGATGAAACACGGAGGATAACAAGGAAACTTCCGTTAAATGACAACTTGTTTTTGGTCTTGTTGGTGAAGAGGGTCGTTTCGGCGTCTTAAAGTGCAACATATGGCACAAGAAAGACAGACAAAACAGTGGAATAAATGGGAACACAGTTGGCATATTCTGTGTACATTGCTTATCTCAGTAAATCAACCTGCAAGTGGCAAGAACCGGCGCAAACAAAAGAACAAATAAATAAATAATGTATATTCTCGGTTTTAGGATACGATTAGGATTTCACCATCATGTTACAGAATCACAAGCACCGACGAGAATAGGTGTAAGAAAACAACGCAAGGGCTGTAACGGGTTTTAAAGAGAAAAGGGAACAGTCAAAGGCTCAATAAATGTCATGCAAAACTGACGAATGGAACAGCATACCAGCTAAGTAGGTGAAGCAAATGTACTGCGGTCGAAACAGCCATGCGGGTGGACGGCGTCCGCGAACGAAATGGCGGCTAGACCCTACTGTCATTGTGCCCAGCTGCATTGCAGGTCAGGTCTTTAAGACAAAAGGCTCCGGGTAAAGTCACCTAGGTCAACCCTCTTCCGCGGATAGGGTAACCGGGATGCTACATGCCCACACAACATACAGACCAGTGGTTCTCAAAGTTATGAAACTGTTACCGACAAATCGGTTTCACTATAAATAATTACCCCCCGAAAGTTAAGTTAAAAAGTTAATTACCTATTAACTATAGTACTTCTTGCATTAAATCACGGATAAATGAATAATATCTATAACTCGATCATTCAAAGAAAGAAAACACCTATTATTTGAGAAGCTTAAATCATCAAGAGGCGATATACATTAATGAGATGGTTGATATTGATTGGTTCGAACAATTTCTGATACACTTGGCGCGGTTTCGGTTAATGCACATGGGAATTGGTGCACCAAGTACATTCGGTTCCTTACTACGATGTGTGATCCCAAGCAAACAAGAACAGATGTCTGGCTTCTCATTTGCTGCAAGCATCACTTCCAAACCCATTCTGAAGGACAACTTCCCACCACCACCCTGTATGGATGCGCCCAGAACGTTAACCGCCTGTTTTGTCCCTTGAACTTGTCAAACTTCCCTCACTCTCTTACCTGGTCAGTCGATCTATGCTTCTACAGTGATCACCCAAATCTGTAATTTGACCCGGCGAACAAGTGCCTGACTCAAAAGAATAACGATCGATGAGTAAGTAGATACAGGCGCCATCTAGCTGCGCTGCCCAGTAGGCATGTATTTGTGTTTTAGGTAATAAATTTATTACAGAACATTGTCTACTTCCCTGGCCATTCACTAATGATTAGTCAATGATGGCTAATCAATAGTGGTTACGCAGTTATTTGCATGTTTTTATACGGATTATTTTGGTTTTAATTTAGTTTGGCAACTGACTGATAACCCAATACTCGTGGCTATATTTCCCCCCGTAAAATTCCATTTTACCCTTTTGAGGGTAATTACTCCCAGGCTGAGAACCCCTGACATAGACCCATGATACAACAACTTTCTGCTCTTTGCCAATGCTACTCTCGGCCAAGGTAATAGCTGCCGAACAGGATATATCGCGCTCTACCGCACCACAGTTCGGTTACTATATTCCAAGTTTATTCAGATCCCCATTATCGGTAACCCCCCCCCCACTGTTTCCGAGTCCACAATACCGTGACACCTTGGATGAGTGCTTTCGTCATGTGGATCAGGAATTTAGGTCCCGAGGGTACACCCCCAAGTAGTACTGCCAAGCCATTTCGAAAACCCGGTTTCCAATTCGAGCTGGTAACCTTTAACGTCCCGACGCTGATGCAGATCGGATCACAAGCAGCCCTTGCTTGCACGCTTAAGACTACTGCCATTGGTGTCTGCTGTCTCAATGAAACGCGATTGCAGGACTCCAGCACAACGCTACGACTGATTTCAACGTCTGCGAGTTCCGTCAGCATTTTTACATTGCGCTTATTTGGAGACGCAATCACCGAAGCTGCTGGTCTTGCCGACGTGGGGATTGCGTTGTTCACACGGTCTGAGACCGCGCTACTAGGACAGGATGCTATAAATAGTCGACGCTGCGCGATCCGACTTGAGACCTCAGTGCGACTTTCCAGTCGCGGGACTAGCAGACGTTGCTTGTTCGTTGTAGCAGCGTATGCTCCCACAGACTGCAGCCCGGAGTCAGTTAAAGACGAGTTCTACTGTCAACTGTCCGACCTTTTCGAAAAAAGCACCGTATAGACATCGTGGTGCTTGCAGAGGACTTAAACATGCAGGTCGGTAGACTTGAAGTTGTAGAGCGTGAACTCTGTGGTCAACAAAGCCATGACATTCGTAAAACAGACAACGGTGATCGCCTAATTCAGCGCTGCGCCGATCACGGGCACTTGCTGTCAAGTACTAGCTTTCGGCGATGCTGGCACCGACGCGCGACCTACAGACCTTTAGGTCGCAGATTGAGCACATCACTATCAGCTATCGCTGGAAAGGGCAGTCTACAAACCTGCAAATCAAGCTGATGTACTTACGTCAATTCGTATCCCGCGCTCGTGTGTGCCAAGATCACTTTACGTGTTGCTTGCCTCCAAGGACGTCACCGGAAATGGTTTAAGGTGGCTAAGCTTTACGTCTAATGCGTTCGTAGCACGTTTGAGTATGCGTTGGCTTCAAATCTAGAAAGCTCCTCATGCTCTGACGTTGAAACGTACTGGGACACATCCGCAGCGCCATGCACAACTCTGCAACCCTGGTCTGTGGATTCACCAGTAGTCCTGTCAAGCACTGGGTCTCTGCACGATCCCTTCAACTTCTCGAAGCTCGTCGGGCAGTTCCAGGTGGTGTTATCATTCACTACACAGGACCACTAACGCTGAACTCAAACAGCTCCTCCGGGAGGATTGCGATGTCTGGTGGACGCAACGTATCATTGATCTGGAGCATGCGGTCAGCTCGGAAAATTTCCGAAAGCTTTTCCGACTGATCCAATCTATCGGCGACAGAAGGCCAACTGTAAGCGAAGTTTTGAGGGAAACCGATGGCGAGTCAATCCAATATAAAAAACACCGACATAAGCGTTGGGCCGAGCATTTTGAGAAGCAGCACCGATGTGTTCCCATTGCGGAATCCAGAGTGCTACCTGGTGTGTAGACCCTGCACCAGCACCTGAGGCTGAGGTTGCCCATGAGCTTCGCCTCCTAAAGCGTTACAAAACCCATGGCCTAGACGAACTCCCTCCGGCTCTTTTCAAAGATAGGAGTCCATTACTTGTTCGGGAGATAAGCTCTCCTCCAAGAGGTTCGGACCAATGAAGCAATCCTGTCCGATTGAAATCTAGCGTATTTCGCTCCCGTCTTCAAAAAGGGTGCCCGGTCATACTGTGCTAACCACAGAGGGATTAGTCCCATCTGCGATGCATCCAAAGCGTTTGCCGCGCTACTTATAAAGAGGCTCATTCTGGCACGCGAACAGAACATATTTGAAGAGCAAGCTGAGTTCCGCTCTGGCCGGAGTTATATCAATGACGTCTTTACTCTCTGCCAAATACTCGAGTGACGTCAAACGCTCGGCCGGCCAACGATTGTTGGCTTCTTAGACAGACGGGATGCATTTGAGTTAGTTAACCGAGCTGTCCTTCGAGAAGAGTAGTGCCCGAGAAGTACGTCAGCTGAGAAAATATCCCGGGTGTAGACATCAAAACATGAATCAGCAAACAAGCTCGATTTCGGTGGATCTCGTCAGGCTTGTACACCACAATGGATATGAATAAAATGGGTTAAAACAGCAAACAAAGGTAAAGTTCAAAGGTCTAGGTAATCTAAATGATAAGATGAGATGGTTGGTTCAGAAGCGGCCAAGGATACGTCAGTGGCATGTTTCCCAACAGCGGACACTGTGATATGAGACTAGCGTAAAGAGAGAACCTGGACGAATCGTTTTGTGCACATAAGTCTGGGTTCTGGATGCGGATAGCAATCGCTTCGGCTGTTGCTAGTGAGCGACATCTTACCGCTAGCGTAAGGCATCCAGGTACACGGTAAATGGGCTAAAAACATAGGTAGGTACCGATGTAGTGGTTAAAATCGCAACTAAAAGTGATGACACGGCGCTTGTCACTGTTTTCGTTCCACCTCCAAACGACTAATTCGGGCAATGCTCACGGATTCTCACCTGATGGTTCTTTCGATATAACTTGTTCGACATAAACAAGTGAAAGAGTATACACAGAAAGAAGTACTTGACCGAGGAAGTCAGTCCTTGAGTTGAAACCTTACGAGTAGCGTTGAAATAAACCATAGCAGCACGCTTGCTGCGTAGTAAACATGGTTTATCGTGTCGGACAGCCTACTAGTTTTTTCCCGCGTTACACTATCCCTCTTGAAAGGCAACGATAGATAAAGCAATTTCTTTCTGACAGAATCGGTTTTAGTCCTCCCTTCTCGGCAGTCCATATTTCTCTGGAGAAACTTTTCGGGATAACCAATTCTCTCAAAAAGCCATTTAAGAAATTCAGCTCGTCCGGAAGCGTGTCCTCAACTCAGATCCTCCTGACCCTTTCACTTTCGCTTCTGGTTTAATGGGACAACAACATCAACATTATTCGAGTCATCTACTCTCGAACCTTGGGTCGAGTGCGAGTGTATGGTGAACTGTTGTCCCCTTAGTATCACGAGTGGCGTGCGACCGGGTTGGCCAACATCACCCTATTCAATTTCGCTATAAATGGCATCCTAGAGAGCTGATTCAAGGGGGGTCCAACTTCGCGACTCAAAGTATGCAGATGACCGCCAGAATTTAGGATACCTCGGAGTCCGCACAAAATGTGTTGTGCAGGTTGGAGGTGTCTGTTTCCTTGTTCGGAATGACGTTCGTCCCTTCGAATTGCAAGGTCTTCGTACAGGACTAACTAGGAGCTGCTCCCACTCTTACTCTTTCAGGTCATTCTTTGGAAGTAGTAGACAAGTTCGTTTACAGGTAGAAGTTCGTCACATCTAGACTCACTCAGACAGCCGCCACACGCCCGGAAAAGCACTGTACGCGCGTTTCATCCTTTCGGGAATCATCAGCAGTGCGCATTCCATCGGACCTTTGGTAGGGCTCGAACCCGCATCTCGACTGTTGCCAGTCAGTGGTTGAGACCACTGAGGTACGGGGGACGGAAACGACTATCGTGAATAAGCTACTAGATGTGATATAGCGCCGCTCACTATCCACTGACTTACACGTTACTGCCGTGTAGAGGACAGGGTAGCCCCCTCACCAAGCGACGAGCTTACCAAACTATACCATTCAACTCCCCCTACTACTCTTCTGTAATCAGTACGCAGACCAAACTGCTTATAATGCCATAAGTTGGTTGGCGGCTTAAGTTTGGTAAGCTCGTCGTCCTCTACACGGCAGTGACGTGTAAGTCAGTGGATAGTGAGCGGCGCTATATCACATCTAGTAACGTATTCACGATAGTCGTTTCCGTCCCCCGTACCTCAGTGGTCTCAACCACGGACTGGCAACAGTCGAAATGCGGGTTCCAGCCCTACCAAAGGTCCGGTGGAATGCGCACTGCTGATGATTCCCGAAAGGATGAAACACGCGTACAGTGCTTTTCCGGGTGTGTGGCGGCTGTCTGAGTGAGTCTAGATGTGACGAAGTTCCACCTATACTATTCAACTCCCCCTACTACTCTTCTGTAAGTTTGTTTACCTCGGAAGCAACATCAGTGCTAACGGCTTAATGGATGAGGTCTCTTTGTGCGTCTCTAAGGCCCGGGTTACTTTTGCTGATCTTCGCTATCTCTAGTGTCGATAGGACCTGAATCTCTCTCCGTGGAGCCAAGTCTACAATGTCGCGGTAAGAGCGGTTAACCTCTGCGAATGCCAGACTTGGTCTGTACGTGCAAAGGACGTTCAGAGGTTGTGTCTTCGATCACCGCTGCCTTCGGAGCATTGCTTATGTACGGTGGACACACGACATTAGTAATGAGGATGCTTGCCGAAGGATTTTCAGATCAGACAGACTTTGTCTGCCGCAGAGTCGCAAAATTTTACTGTATAGGCCTCGGTGGCTTGGGCACAAGCCCCGCATGCCTACTAAGCGTTTGCCTCATCGTGCACTCTGCGCGCGCAGATGTTGGCTGGAAGCGAAGACAAGGTGGCCAGCCAATGACTTGGACCAAAAGTATGAAGGGGCTGATCCCACATTTGGCCGCGGTCGGGCGTTCTCGACTCCCTGGTTGGGGGCATAAGGATCACGAGCACACATAACTGGAACCCCAATCGGATATGTCAAGAAACCGTGAGCAATGGCGAAGAGATTGTGAGACACTACCACATGACTGTAGTCCTACACTTCTTTTTTGACCTCATATTCTTTCATTATTGTTGTAGTATATTTGTCAATACGTTGTGGCATACTGCCAATTGTATTGTTTGTCAAGTGCCCATGATATATTATTATTATCCGCCTGGGCAACGCATTGCGCATGCCTGCATACCGACTCCCGCGTCGGGCGTTATTTGCGCGCTAGGGGTCTGGATGGAAGAAGAGGAAAAGCCAAGCGATGATTGGGCAAGAGAAATGAAGCCCCTCGATTGGTGCCTCTCGACTTTCGGGTTAGGGTTCGAAGGACGATGAACGCGTTTAGTTGAATACACTAATTTATAAGGGGAATAGCCGACCTCAGTGGCGTTTGTGAGGTGAGTCACTTTGTCCCGCACCACCCCTTTAGCTACAACCATCTCAAATGCTATGAGTTATAGGATATTTAGCATTTGGTTAAAATGTTTAGCTGTTGTAATCGGCAATGTTTAAACTCTTATCCTTTTTGTATTGCGGCACATTAGATGAGGTGTGTTACTCACCTAGAGCCAACTTGTACTGATGATGCAAGTTGACCCTATGCGAACAGATATCAATAGAAGTGAACAATATTTGAAATTTTTGTGCAAAGATGGGTAGCCGATGACAACCTTCTTGAACGGGGAAGACGACACTAACATCGGTCAGGCAAAGCTTTTTCAGTGGTTTATAATTCACGCGACCGAAAAAGCAAAGTAGTATTTCGCTGTACGACAGTGGAGCATAGGCACCGCGCACAGATAAATCCACTGACAGTGACGGTAGTAAGTTCTAATGAGAAACGGAGAAAGTCGCATGTGCTCACAAAACACAAGGTAGTGTAACAAAAGTGCGTCTCCCCATGCACAAATACCAAATGTAAGGTGACAGAAATATGGGTGTTAATTTTAATTAGGCTCCTACGTTCATCCGTATAAAATAATGCAGTTTGCACAAAAGAAAAAAAACAATGCCACGTTGTGCACCAGAAAAAGATGACATCAGAAGTGCACCGGTACACTGTTTCGGTGCCAGCAACCAACAACAGCCCGCCGCCGACCGACATGTGCATCAGAGTGGGGTGTGGAACAAAGAAAACGGCAGATTATCAGTTATGTAAACCGTTGTTCCGCTACAATACAACTAGAATGACACGGGGAATAAGGAATAGTAAGAGGATGGATTTGGGAACTCACAGAATGCCCATCCAGTTGGTGCGTCGGGATCCGTGCCACAGAAGTTGCTTGTTGTGTTGCGCTCGTTTGAAACTATTGAAACGCTTCCGCTCGTCAGCACGCTCCACATCAAACACGGCGTCCACTTCAAGTGAGAAGTGAGTGTGAGTAGAACCATGAGTACGGCGCACATATTCGACAATCCGGGCATACTCTTCCGAGTCGGGGTCTAGGGGCTATGATAAGGTGGATCAGAGATGAAGTGGAACAAAATGAACAAGGAGTGTTGCGTAGATGAACAAGCAGATAAAAATGGCTCGTTAGGGGATTGCAACATGAAAACATTTAAGGGTCGGTGGCCGAATGAATGAGGCATCTACCTTGTAATCCAAAGGTCACCAGCACAAATCTGAGTAGCTGAGAGCGATCTTGTAGTCTCCTAGCCTGCGTGCGGCTGACGGTAGTCGCACAACAAGGAGGGTTCGGTGCGACGCACCACTCGTCGTACATCTAACAGTAAACTATGTCCAACGCGAACATGTAAGGATACAAGCAAACCAAGAAGCTACAACACATTCGGAACAGCAATGGTATGGAAGCGACTACGGTTGGCAAGAAATTGGGGCTTTGTGAGTCTCACTCGTCAGTGGATAGGACGGAAGCAGAAAAGAGATTAAGATACTGTCAGCTAGTCATTTTCCGAGAAACAGTGAGGATCAAAGGTACCGAAATCGCTCAATTAGACGCGGGATAAGAAAAAGATCGCGGCCAAGTGAATACGGAGAAGCGTTGGTCTGTCTTTAGGAACGAAAAATTCGCTTCAGATGTCAAGTGAGTGGCCAAATCACTAAGTGAATTACAATGCAATCTGTTGACGCCCAACTGGTGAATCGTCAACCGAGAGACTAACACTGAATGCCGCCGACGAAAGTCGTCCAGTCGGAAAAAACGCTAACAGACAGTGCATGGGACTGGCCGGAACATAGGCCATCGAGGAGTTCGTTTCATGTAAAGAATAGTAACTGCATGAGAACTTCACAACTGTCGCACAGCAGTCGGAGGTTTCCGTATACAAAATGACGATCGGTCATAGGTGCAACGACATATGAGGGACCGATCACGTGTATTTCATGAGTTGGGTGCCATGAATGAAGAGAGAGAGAGCAAAGGTAAAACAGCGATGAAGGAGGAGGACCGAAACCCATTTAAAAAATGAGTCACGTCAACTATCACTGTTAACTGTGGTCCAAGTCAGTGGTCTGCATGGAGGACGACCGTGGATTCCAGTAGTGTTAAGTTCGATGAGTTGTACAGTCCTGGTGAGAAATCCCAACAAAAGACCTCCTCAGGATATCTCAAAATTCTTCATGTTCACCTAACACTAAGTTAAAACCGATATAAGTAGTGGTCAGGAACTCTGTCAAAATTAGTTGCTCCAGTGTATACCAACGATAAGCATTCGGTGGTCAGTTTCGTGCAAGTACTTGCCACGACAGCCGATAACAGTAGAAGTATGAGAAGTGGAACATATTGTGCATATTGAAAACAATTCCCTCGGGACCACTACGCTCAAGCGCCAGCGTCGACATTAGTCCCAACACAGTCCGGAAAACAGTGTTGCGCATATTACAGGTAGCAAACAAAAGAAAGTAGCCGAAGTCACCTTCAGATACCTTTGGCTAGATCACCAGCTGGACTCACAACACATCGTAACAGAGAGGTACCAAAGTGGAAAGAATGAGTCGGAATGAGTCGGAAATTTGGATGAGGTCTGTGCAAAATTTACGGCTAAAGTCCTAAGTTCGGTGTGAGCAAGGATTCCCCAATGCGGAATGTCTGCGGTAAACACATACGCGATATTAATCCTAGTAAAAAGCGACATCTTAAAGGGATAATAGACTCTTTTGAAACGATATAACCGAGAGTTAATCAACTCAAGTGGATGATAAGTGGAATATTCAGCGGTGAATGGACAGAGACCACAGAGTATTTCGTCACAGATAGACACAGAGAACGAACTAAAGTATCAGCATGATGATTATGTTGACGGTCTCGGTACGTGATTTCGCTATAGCAGTTCCCAGAGATGGGACAGAGGTTCAATGCGTTATAAATGACAAGACAAATCTGCCTATTGGGTTAAAGTGAAAACCAGACTGTAAACATGCAACTCTAAAACTCAATAATTTTCATAAACAGCTACATGTTGGATAACTTATTTGGGGGCGAATGACGGATGTTAGGACCGATAGAACCGGCGCACTAGAAAACTTTATTTTGGTGAAAACGTCAAAAAATTAACTCATTGACTTACTTTCAAATCCGTTTTTAAGTGTTTGTAATGCTGATCTAATGGGTTTTCATTCATCGAGACATCCTGTTTGAGCATGCTATAGGCCACCTCGATCTCCAAAAGATCTTCTAACATGTGTAACTTTTCCTTGATTACTTTTAGAGTATCCAGCAACGGTGGAGTTTTCATGCCAAAATCGTGCGGAATGAGGGTATAGAAGCGAGTGGATTCGCTCAGCAACGTGGTCTGATCCGGAGGAGCTTTTTTCTTTGAACTCCGGTCTAACAGCTTGGTCAAATTGTTCAGAATACCATAGGCCTCATGAATTTGTCGCTTAGACAACTTACCCAATGGCATTCTGCGTAAATCGAGCTAAACGGGGGAAAAGGTGAGAGAGGAGAGTTGCGGATAGTGAGAAAGCTTCCAAAAAGATACAGTGATACGCTTTGAACAAATAAGCTTAAAAATGAGTTGGGTAGGATCAAAGAGGACAGAGCTACGCACAACCAGTTAAGAAGCTACACATCATTACAAAATACGGAGAACAATTGAACGAGAAGGGTAAGGTGCACCAGCTATGAGTTCAAAAGGTCGAAAATGGTGTGCGGCACACCATACTAAGGGATGCTCTATCACATCAGTGGTGCGTTTAATCTGAAGCTCTTGGTAAGAACACAAAAGCAAAAGAAACAGAATCAGCCTTGAAAATACTGTATGGAGCTAGATAGCTTGGAAAACATTTGCCTGACAAGGAAAGTTAAAAAAATTCGACAGGACTAAGTTTGCTTGCATGCAAGATTTGTCGGTTCCCTCATCATTCAGTTGCGGACCAGAACAAAAGTAGTTCGGTTAATCCTATTTCTTGAGCAGACGAACGAACACAGCTGTCCTATAATTGAACCATAATGTGCTATCAATTCTCGTCCCATGCAACTTACCCACATACACTCAGTTGTGGGAATCCTTCCGTTGGCAAACAAATCTGGTACAATGCAACTAGCCTGCTTTAAAATGTTGCATATCGCACAACTCTGTAAACGAATGTCAGGTACCAGATAAATGCACCTCAATCATTTGAGAGTCCGACACAAGTAGTCAATGTGGAGAATGCACAACACTGTGATGCATCCCATGGTATCAGAGACCTATGAAGATCAGTATCATCATCCTACACACTAGTTAGAGGAGAAAAACCCCTCAGCTATTGCGCAGTGGCATAGATACATGGTCATAAAAAGCGGAACAAAAGCAAAAAAGGAAACCCAGTAAAAACAAGGAATATTATATGGAGATCATTTTGAAACATTCGCCAACTAAAAAGGAAGAAAAAGGCGTCAACAATACGCCGACACATCGTAGCAACGCCCCGCTGTAATGTGTACTTCGAAAAGTAATTCCAATCCGGGCCGCGATTCAAGCTGAAACAAACCTCAGCCGAGTTAATTTCTGGACCGTAACAAAAACGGATACACGTTAGGTGCTACCTTGTTTTAAGTACGTAGTAAGAACGAGATAACAGATGAAGGGAAAGGCAAAGCAAGATGGTGGTGGACAAAGTAAACCAAAACGTGAACACCACTGAGGCTAGCCACTCCCCATGTCAACAAGTGCCCCCAAAACAAACGTGTTTATCGTCTTTCGGATCTTAACCAGGAAATCGAGAGGCTCCAACCGAAGACATGTTCGAAGTGAGTAGCTTCACTCTTTTTGAGCAAGTGATCCGTTGGCCTCCCTTCCTCTTCTTCCATCCACACCCCCGTCGTGTAAACAACACACTTCGCATGAGTACGTGTGATGACATATGACTCAGCCACAGGAGCCTGGTGCGTGAAATAACCGTGCTGAACGGTTCACTCGCTCTTGCTGTAGGAAAAAGGGCGCTGAAAAAGCTCACTATTCATGTGGTTTTCTCACCAGATATAAGCTTCTTTAAGTCTGTCGATCTGACGTGCCAGGCGTCACAACAGTAAGTACGGACAGCAGTGTTGTGAACACTCATCATCAGAACGAAGGTGATGTCGTGCCGGTGCGATAGAAAAGCGCTTCGGTTCTCTGGGAATAGCAATCAAGTGAAACGACTCGAACTTCATGTTTAAGAACCGCCATTCACTAATGAATTCATGAGATGAAGATAATTGAAATCAGGACCGACGACCGTGGCTCAGATATTATTTGCTTTAATAAAATCATTTTGAAGAACATGTTAACACGTTCCGGTCGATTAGGATGGATGGTATATGCGAGGAAAAGCACAGTAACCCCTTTATAAAAAAGAGTAGGTGGTGAAACTTACATCAAACTGCAACATGGTTTGTTTCATGGAGTCGATGTCGCAAATGAAGCGTATGAGGGATTGAAGCGCAGGATGTAGACTGGAAGGGACGCGGTTGGCATCTTCCAGACTTTGCTTATGCGCTTCGGACTGTGAAATAGAGAATAAAATATGCGAAGAAGTAAGCATTCATAGGAATGATCTGTAACTCGAAGGTCATAAGGAAAGTAGAATTTAGTGTAGAAACTCTCATCTTGATAGTTAGGGCGAGTACCTCGTCAAACAATGCACATTCTGATCCAACAATGGTGCGAAGCTCGATGTCGGAACTAAAAGCATTAGCTAACGCCCAGGTTTGTGCTGTGTAACCCTGTGATCGGATCCCAAACGATGAGGAATCCAGCCGGCCGGGAAATATACCCATTTGCATATTCATGTTGCACTACTAACACTATGATAGTAGTCCAAATGATTAATCATTGGAAAGTAATCAGGGTTGACTGCGTTGTGCCAAAATATTCACCACAATTGTTCCACGCTGGGAGGCTTAACTGGGAACGTTTGCGTTCGGTAACCACCCGTTGTGCTAGCAGAACAGCGTTGAATATGGAATGACGCTAATGATCACCACACCATGTACTCATAAAACAGCCTGTGATTATTGGACGATAGAACAGAAGTTCAGAATGTCACGAAGGAGTAACACTTCTACAAGATAATCTGAATTCAACTATTTCGCCTATTCTCGTCAGCTGTTTACACACAATTAGTGGAATGGCTATGTTGCATACAGAGACATTCAAGGTATAACGTCACTGAATAATCGAAAACGGTCAAAGTTCATCTGGTCGGCATTTCGCTTGGAGCAGTGGTTCTCAGCCATTACGATGCTGTTACTCACAAAACGGGTTCACGTTACACAAGTACCCAAACAATTTAAGCTTGAAAAGTTAAGTTCCTAATAGCTATTGCCTTTTTATGGAAATAAAGGAGAACGGATGCTAATTTTAATTACTTTTGATTATCCAAATAGAGATGTTTTTGAGCAATCTTTTACTAAAACACAGCAATTACTTCTTGAACCTCAAGCACTCGGTGCAAAATTTTGCCCTGTGAAAATCAGCGCAGGTCTGTGTGGAATGAGAGCACGTAGAATTTATCTCCAAATTCATTGCATAACTGAAAACTCTTGTATTTGCCGCACCACCGCGAATGATAGGTAAAATTTTCACTACCACGGTAACTGCGCCCAGCAAAGCAGGTGGAAGTTTCCGCTGCTAAAGCAGAAAGATATACAATGCAATGGATAAAGTTAGCGTGAGAAGCAACTTGTATGATTAGCGATTGGAATCAGAAATAAAGCCCAACATGGCTGGTGCTCCGTCTGTACAGACACCCACGAACTTCGACCACTGAAAATTGTTTAATTCACTGACCACTCACTAATGATTAGTCACTGATGGCTAATCAATAATGATTAGGTAGTTAATTACATGTTTTGACATAGAAAACTTTGTCATTAATTGGTTTGGCGACTGATTGATGACCCAATCCTCGTAAGTACATTTATCCCCCGTAAAAACCCATTTTGCCCCCGAGTTAAGGATCACTGGCTTAGAGGAATGTGGCCACCAGCCGCAACAATGCAGGGCGAGACTGGTGACAATCTCGGTTGCAACCGGCTAATTGCCGAAGCCTCAGGGAACTGAAGCAGGCGGGCGGCGCTCTGTCGGTTGATTATCCTAAATGATCCACGAGGGTTTTCACACATAGGGCAGTTAAGTTTGTGTCAGGCGATCGAACTAGCAGGCAGCTTCGGACCATTCTCGACCAGATTTCGCGGAATATGCCTGCTAGTTCGATCGCCCGACACATACTTAATTGCCTCATATGCAAAAGCTCTCGTAACGTACTCAAGATAATCAACCAACAAAGGGCCACCCGCCTGCTTCAGTTCGCCGAGGCTTCGGCAATTAGAAGGTTGAAACCAACTTGTGCAAACAGACCGAGTTCGTCGCTAGTCTCGCCCTGCCTTGGTGAGGCTGGTGGCCACATTCCTCAAAGCGGAATGCCGGCCAGCATCTGATGAACTTGATTGTTCGCGATTGAACAATGAATTTCTGCGTACGCAAATTAAGCATCCCACCAATTGTACGTAAACGGCGGAAATCAAATTGAATTCAGAATATGCTGTCGAAAGGTTACTCCTTCGTGCCATGCTGAAATTTGTGAAAGGAAAGATTTGTATGATATTACAGAAACTATCCAATCGGTTGCAACATCCTGGGATCAATAGCAAAAGAAAGCTAAATACAATAGTTAATCGAGATCCGAGAATGGAACACTGATGAGTTCAATACAAAACAGAATCCTCGTATAATCCAAACAGAATACAATGACGGTGTGGCGTGTGTGTGTGGGGGGGATGTGATCCGCGAATGGTAACATGTAATAATTGTGTCGAAGGTGCACTGGGATGCTTAAAATTAACTGCTACATGAACTGTGAGTTTTCAACTGAATTACTGAACGGTGATCCCGTGCTTTCCTAATATCAAAGCCACATTCGCCCAAATCCGCCATTACAGATTTGTAGAAACGAAGTAGGAAGAAAGTTAATCGCCATAGAGTGAGCAGATAGTAACAACATCACATGCCTTTCCGTAGTCGAGATCCATTTCGTAAAATTTGTATGGCTTCTTCTGGAAATTCTCCCGATCCCGCCACTCGTTCCCAGTTTTCTCGAGATATAAATCCTCAAATGACTGGCGGGCTGAAGACGCAGTTGTGAATTTTTCCAATTTGGTTCCGCCGATTTGAGTGCCAATACGGCCCCAAGCGCGAAACACCCAATAAGATACTCCGGTATCCGATTTCAGAGCCTGTAGTCTGTGAAGAAACGCGGGAGCAGAAAATAGCTTTCACAGCCAATGAGGTGTTAGAGCCACTAGACGCTGAACTGGCAGTGGAGCGAGTGTTCATGTTCAATGGACGTCAACTAGACTTTGCATCCAGGTTTAGCAGGAAATGTGTGAATTAGTAGGTTAGGTTTGACAGGAAGTTAGACAGCGAGTCCAGTCTGAAAGTCCTGGAATTCTCCACAAAGGCTTGAGGTCCCAGACAGTATACACTGCAACACATACTCGAAATGAGTTCAATGACACAGGTACCATGAGTTTAAAACACCGCAATCATACGGAAAGAGCTCGCTTGTTTAGTAACGCCATGTAGGAGACTGCTGTCGATTCACTTAAGGATCAGGAAGAGAAAAGTGGGAGACGACATGAAGTGGGGCATAAAGGAGTTAATGCTGCACCAATGCTGCGCACGCGACAATCTCCAACATGGTACACCAACTAGGTTTCAAACGAGGATTCTACATATAGCAGGAGAAATTATAAAGGGTGGAAGCGAGTCGCAACGAGGAAAGGTGTACGCAGTGGTTATGCTAACCGCTGACACAAGTTGCGTGACATTGAATGAAAGATACTCTCTGACCTACGCTAACAGATGTTGTCACATGAATTAGGAACGTATTTTCAAAAAGCTGGTTTAACGCTAAGAGACCAGTATGAGTTGCTTTACATTCTCCATAAGTGAACTTTTTTGAGAGCATCTGCAGCTTCCGAAGATCATACATGAAGAAATTTATGAATCGGTACTACTGGATGTTCCAAGAGAAACCTGGACATATTTCTTGCAACACTGAGTGAAGGATACGTTTTCCCAGAGCTGATGGTGTCGGAGGCATGGACCTGCGTGTCACGGCATTATTGTAGGTGGACCAATCAAGAAAAGGAGGGAATATCACGCTAGCAACCAAGATTTCATAGATCCGTAAGTCATTTTGCTATCGCCGACATAACCAAGTGTGAATCGAACCCACATTTTTAGTTTAATTCATCGTGGGGCCATTTGTTGTAGGCCCCGCCAGATCGATGCAGGTCAATATCTAAGGGTTCATCGAGGCCTTCAGGCAAGAACGGCGGTCCAGGAAGCGCAGTACAGGTACCCTAGTTTGGACGCCAAGAGATGACCCCGAAGGAATCTGGCTATTTGTAGCGATCGAGATTGGTACAATTAATCTTAGTAACGAAAACAAACCATTTGTTGCTGTGTGCCATTGCCAATCGATGAAGGATAACGTGTATGCCAGTGACCAAGTCTAATCAAGTCAAGATAAGCTATATACACTCGCGTGGGAACTTTTTCAGCAGTTTCCACCAACGCTGCGGACGTAATACAGTATAGATTCGGTGGGGAAATGAGGCGAATTGATAAGAAAAACAAAGAGATTACTTGCAAGCAAGCGAACGTACACGTAATTGATGCATCATCACTTTTGGGTTGACTAACAAGCGAGACAGATAAAGCACTATGAAGTTGCGATACAAAGAGACATAGGAATATAAAACTCCATATTGTAACTGCGTGGAAGAAATGGATGCCGTACTTGCTAAAACAATGTGTAGGGGATGAGTGGGGCCGTTTGGAATCATGGATGAAATTTAAAGCATGCGTCAAAATGCTTAACGACAAAATCAATGAGCGTTTTACTTAATCCACAGCATCGTGAAAAAATTTGGTGATCACACAAGAAAAGTATAATCCTTTTGAAGAAGTCCGGAGAATAACAGGGGAACAGTATAGCCAGTGGGGGAGAATATGTGCATGAGAAGACGACATCAGGCATTCGGATACGCGACTGCCATGAGCAAAAACTGGGGATTGTTTGATAGCAGTGGTTAGATTAATGCAGGTGGCTTATATGTGCATAGGCTTCTATATCAGTTACGGTTACGGATGGTTGGCGATGAGAAAAGGCAGAAATAATGCAGTCCACATTCACTAGTAGGCCATTTCTGAGTAGGCAGTAGTCAGTTGCTCCCTAGATTCGAACACATCGCAGTGAGCAGGTTGTAATCATTCTCTGGTTTCCGCTAACTACGCTTGTGTGTTATCCATCGTTCGGCAGAGGGAACCACTCATTCAGTCAATGTAATCATCATCGCAACTTCGTACAGAGTGGGGAGTGTGAACTGCCAGTAACACTTCGATCCGCTACAAAAGTACGCAAGTGGAGCGCCTTATATTTGTTGTGGCACCAAAAATAATAGACTACTACAGTTATCTGTAATTATACATCTGTCGCCCTGGAGATCGGTGCCCATTTACCGTTATGCCACAATCAGAATTATAAATTTAGTGCACGATTTGAGATGCCGCGTAACAGAATCCAGTGCAACAATGGCTCGAGTAATAAAGGCAAAGTTGTCCAAGAGTTTGGCCCCTTGATCTGTCTGAGTCCCTAGATATGACATGTAATGAAACTAAACTTTATCATCACGCCGTAGCTTACGAAACGCCATGGAATCGTAATCACAATTTCGCAAAACTGTCTCAACAAAGTTCCTATGATAATGAGGATGACACCGTTTTGGTGGACGATATCACGGTTCAGCACAAAAATTCTCGCGTGGCTATGCATCTACTATGATCTCATGCACTACTGCAACGCTTGCATGACTTGTGTCCACGGAACACAGCACTTGCGTGTAAGACGTGATTAATAATGGTCTTGCCCAGATACCAACTACTGTCGGCCCACCGGCACGTGTGGCCACCATTACGCTCTCTGTGCGTGTAACGCAGATCACGTGCAGGACACCGGCTAGTGTAGTCGTTGCTGACCTTAAGCATCAACACGCTGCTAGACCCCCAGGTTAAGCGTGTAATCGGGTCAGCTTCCGTGGGTAATTTGTAAGCGAGTACCGACCTGAGAACCCCACTGCCACCTATATCCTGAAGTCAGCGTGATAACGAAAATGGCATCTGGAGCACGACCGGACCTTGTACTGTTACGCTGCCACGCAACTACCAGTGATTGCATACGGGATGGGATATGGTGAGATCACTCGCACCTGGATCCTCAGTTGTATGTCGTAACGGCGTTTCGGTGCCGCGCGATCACCACCAGTCGCGCGTGGGCTGAGTATACCGCGCTGATGCCCACCCCTACATGGATTCGTACCGGTGACCTTATGATTGCAAATTAGGCGCGTAGACTACTCCGGCCAGGTACATCTGCACCTATCAATAAGCGAACTTCACGGATACTAACAGAGCAATCATGTACATTACTGCTGACCCTAGCCCCACATAAACAATGCCGAGGCCACTACCAGAAGCTAGTAACGCACCAATCCCGTTTGGATTGTAGAAAGTATTTTCTAGAATCTATTCCCGTTGAAATGCACTACCAACGCATGTGGTGAACGCACCGGACATTGCGACATTCGAAAATTATTAGTCTTTCACTGATAAACGCCACACAACAGTGCGATGGCTAAACCACTGATAATACGTTCCATGTTGAACCATTTTTGACTTTAATTTTCCTTTGCATTTCCCATCCTGTAGGTCTTATCCCATAATAAACTATGGAAATATTAAGCATTCTGGGATTAATCAGGCTACTCATCGAATTTCGGGGCCTCGGTATGCCTGGTAGGATCCCCCGCTTTGGCTCAATTAACCTGACTATAGTCCAAGTACCATTCGGTTGAATACTGGCACATATAAACTCGCAAGGTAGCCCTTACCGGTTGTGTAACTGTAGACTGCGGTAGATGAGCGCGCAGTTTGCCTCGTTTCCACAAATGCTCAGGTATCGATCGGAGCACGCAACCAGTACTGAGCGCACTCAGAGCCATGCCAAAGCCACAGTATATCTCGAGAAACCGCGTCATCATACCGAGAACGAGGCAAACAAAACCAAAAACGAAACGAAATGTGACGATTTCCGTAGCTGTTGCATTCCACTGTGGCAGGTGTAACCAGAAGAAACAATGGAGGAAGTGACACGAGTGATTATAAGTGTCATGCGACGTACTTTGATCTTTTGTTAAATCCTAAATGAGGTAACTCGGAAAAGGTTATTGCGCCACTTATACAACTAGCCTTAATTCCCTTTAAAAGTAGGGTCACTGGCTGAGGTGCACATCGCCTTCGGAACGATATGCATATTTGTACTCGCTAATTTGCACAGAATCATAATCAAATCATATTCGTTATTTACTGTTGGAGTACCCGTTTCAATAAACTCTGTGCAGCCTAGAGTAATAGTAACGAAGGGTTCCGGCAGAAGAGCACGACTTCCCATGAAGAACTTGGCTTCGCTAAATTATTTGAAGTATGGAAAATGGCCGAACTCGATCGCAGAAGTGCAGTGCTTAATCGGGAAGCAAGGGTAGAACAAATCACATAACTCTGCGTCTGTGTATAGTTGATTGGGGCGCATTTTGGTAAAACGGACGTATATTTCTCGGATAATATTTTAGCAGAGCTGACAACAGTATTGGTTCCGGACTCCAGTTATCCAGACGTGAGCAATGACATAGCGAAAGTATTATAGTTCAGTTGCGTGCGGATTAAACGAAATCACGGTCCAGCGACCCGAAACCAAAATTAAATCTGATCAGAATGTGTGTAACTGCTCCCTGGTACTATTTTGAGTATGTCCGCTGGTAATAGTATATGTATGCATCCATCAAATAAAATTGATGTACACAATCATGCCAAAATCGTGCGGATAAAGGAGTTTTGTTTGGTAGCTCCCAAGTGAAACTTTACCCTTATTTTACATGGGTTGGAATTCCCTCTCTCACTGAGTGAACCGCTACTGGCAAGGTCACTTCGTAGTGACGACTTAGGACATTACACAATGTTCATTTGAGAATTATATCTAAAATGGTCAGTATATTTTATTAAACTATAGTTAGTCCGTAACTTGCATGGCAGTGGAGGATAAGACGCGCTATATCGCAGTTAGCTTGTAAATCATGACGGTCCGAAGCTGTCCCCCGTGGCCCAGTGGCATAAGCTGCTGACTGGCGGTGCAAGCCGCTGGTGGTCATGGGTTCGAATCCTGATGGATCCGATGGATGCGCACTAGTGACGACGCCCAACAGGCTGAAACTGCAGTCTAGTGCTTCTCCGGGCATGTAGACGACTATCTGATTTGGAAACTGGCTGCGAAGAACCTCTTAACTACATCGAAATCCCCTAATCATGAGTACATCATGAGTATAGTTAGTCCGACCGAAGAGAACTTGAGACAGGCATCATGAATATCCATCCCTTGATATACATTTGGAGACTAGAGCCATCATCTGTCACGTAGTTCACTTTTCGTATGATAGTTCTAATCCAGACCTGCTCTATAGAGAATTACAGCAAAAACAACGCAAAGCACGTGATGTGATTATAGCAGGCAAACTGACATTAATAACTGTAATAGTCGTCAGCTGTACGCCGTAACGGTGCTTCCCTGCCGCGCGATCACCGCCAGTCGCGAATGGGCGGAGTATACCTCGCGGACGCCGACCCCATACGCGGATTCGAACCTTATGATTGCAAGCCACGCGCGCAGACCATTCGACCACCGGCTCGCACCTTCGAAGACTCGAAACAGAAACATCAAAAAATAAAAGCAAATGAGCTAAGCCACCCCGCTACCCGGTTGAGTATGATGTATGCGCATCAGATATCCTACTGGATAATGGAAGTTGATCAATCAACGGTTGTACGCGCTTGAGTACATACGCCTGTCGTCGGATGCAGGTTGAAAGGCTATAGGCTAACACAGCTGAAGTACGGATGGAAGAGACTACGGATTCATCTGAGAACTAGTCTGTAGGTTGAAATATCTGTATAGCAACTCTAATGTGTCATAGACAATCTTGAATGTACCACGGACATTTGCAACTGGTACCTGGTACCCAGCCACATCTGGTACATCTGTTAAGCCTGTTAGGATTGTGACACGTCAGCGACACCATCTCCTCTGCCCCCCTGTGTTTCAACCACGGCTTCCACAATGACCTTGTCCTAACCCTTTAACCCACAAGCTCAGTCCCACAATGTATATTAAAGGCCTTTATAGAATCTCACTCAGGTACCTGAGTATTGACCCCCTGTTCTAAAACTTAAAATATTCGACATCGGACGTGTAAAGAAACTAACGACAAAAATGTTGTTCGAATAAGGTTTTTCTCCAAAACAACGATGATTCCGTTTGTTCATCAGTTATACGAGGAAAAGTTCTCGTGATAGAACAGAGGAGCAATAATAGGCATTTGGTGTTTAATTCATAAAAATTACACTTTAGTTGAGGGTGAGAAACGTGCCTCAGATAATGTGCTGTAATACAAAAAAGATTAGACCCTAAAAATTCCAGACTATAAAAATGTTCAAAAAGCGTTATATAATGTTATCGTATGAAATCATAATTGAAGGGGGAATCTAAAGGGGGGGATGAATCACAGATCGTACTGTGGCTTCCGACAGTGTTTTGTCTCATGTGCATCGTCCGCCGTCACTCTGGACGTGCCAGCTCCGTAGTTCAGGTGACCGTGTGATCCGGTTCGGCTCCGTTTCGCGTAATTCGCGTTCTTCGGCGTAGGAGTTTATGGGTGTCAACAACCAAAATGTGCGTCGTCAGGTTCTGCTAATGATGCGTATTTGTACTGACGGAAACATATTTACGTTACATGTACTAATAATATTTATGATACTGCTAAATGCAAATAATCGTCACAACTTAAATACACAAAAGCACTTGCTTTTAACAGCAGGATACATCCTTTGTGGAATTCAATGTAAAGCTGCATATTTTCAAACGTCATAAGGTAAAACTAAGTAATAGGAGGCAATTTGCAATGTGTGTACCATTGTATGGTTTATGCGAGCACGATGCGTGGCCGGAGTTACTATGTGGGTTGGTGATATTTTAACTAGCGAGCAGTTGTGTGGTCCCATTTTCTTACTGCGGTCATCGCTATGCCCAAATTTTGCTGACCGAGAAGCTTGCTTGTACTGTGAGATTCGCTTGGGAAACCTGGACAACGCGCAAATCAGTTCCGAACATCTTTTGATGAGTTGGCCGGTAGTTCACACACCGTTCAAATTTCCGAAGGTAACCGTTGCATACAACAGGACAGCAACACCAATTTAGCTATTGATGACCCGGAGGATTGCGTATTCCTCTTCATCTACAGATTGCGCATACCAGTGCCACTCACACTCACCATATATCTGCATTTTGCTGATCGTGTACGTGTGTGAGTGCTAAGCATAGACTAGTTCAGGTTGTAACCAAATTATCGGCGAGTATCTACAAAACACATACGAAGTGGCCATGGTGATCCGCCTTAGGATGAAGAGGATAGGCGACAGCACAATGAAGTCTGAATCACGTGCATTGCACGGCGACATCAAGAGCAAGTAGGAGGCAGTCAGTGAGATGGATATTTCAACCCTGACAAATAAATGCCCAATGTAGAATACGTCGACGCACTTGTAAAATGAATTGGATCCCTTGACCAAATCGACCATGCCTAGGACGGCGCTCAGCGGTTCACCCCGATTTCCTTTCATGACAGATGCACGGTCGGCCAGACCGGATTCAGGGTCCACGACAGCTCCACCTTTGAGTGTGCAGCGAACAACATCCTCGTCAAGAGACAAGCCGTCAGAGTTCAGTGCAGATTTCTTTCCTTAAAATTTTAGCAAGAATAAAACAAATGTGAAAAGTGTCGTGGAAATAGATATTCAAAACGAATGATAACAAGACCCGTTTTGACAAAGGGAAATGTAGGAAAAGAAGAAAAATGAAGAAAAGTGACAAAGAGCATTCGCAGACACGAACGAAAAGACGGCCAATTTGAAGATTGGAAATGCTAGGAAATTTGTGCGGAAGACATTGTCAAGATTAGCGAAGAAACAACAAATCAACCACCAAGAGGGAATAAAAACCAGTATCATCATCCACATCACGAGTTAAAAGAATTTTGAAGCCAAAATTTGATGGGTTAGCACAGATTGAACAGAAAGGGAGCCCACAAGAAAAATAGCACCAAGAAAAAGAACATGATAAAATTGGTGGAAAACAGTTAGTCGGTAAGCGTTGGGCCGCTACCAAGACTACCAAAGAATCGGCAATAAGTTGTTACAGGAAGATTATCCATATGACAGGCCGGAGATAACATATAAAGTTTGTATGAGCCATTGGGGGGGAGAGCAAGCACAAGCAGTTAAGAGATGAACTCTACTCAGAAGAATCATCATAAAAACAATAAACGCAAGTTTACCGAGTATCAATTTCAACACACAAATGCACGTTATCTAACTGCACTTTACACATCTTAAGGTGATCCCCGCAGATTGTACGAGTGGGCGATAGACGGTAACGATTGCAACGTCATACCGAACATCGAAGAACAATAGCCAGGGTCTACGGTGTCCTATCGGACAGCTTTCAGACCACAGGTGAAGTTCGTCAGGGTTGTCCGATTTCCCCATTTTTGTTCAATTTCGTCGTGGATTCTATCATGGAGTGTTCCCTTGCGGAATCCAACGATGTAGGCGTTGAAGTGCTGCCTGGTAAAGGTTAGTTGACCTAGATTATGCGGACGATATCGTCTTGCTTTTCGACCATGATGCGACGGCACAATCAACCCTGAGTAGCCTGTCTAGAGTGGTCCCATTATTTGGTATGCACTTCGCACCTTCAAAGTACAAAGTGTTACTGCAGGACCACCAGCCACTTCTGACCGTTTGACCCTTGCTAACGAGGAACTCGAGATGGTTGACCAATTCACTTATCTTGGCAGCTGTATCAGCAACGACGGGCGCATAGAAACTGACGTCCGCTCACGCATTGCAAAGGTCAAAGTTACCTTCTTGAACCTGCGGCATCCTTGGCTACAGAAGGGAGTTTCCCTCCGTCTGAAAGGCCGGGTATACGAGGGCACAGTGAGGGCCGTTCTGCCCTATGGTAGTGGGATTTGACTCCTTCGGTCTTAAGATCCGAAGCGCCTTCAAGTCTTTGATCATCGTTGTCTGCGAAACATTGCTGGTGTCGGATGGAACCAGCGTGTCCGCAACGATGATGTGCGTAGGCGAGTATTAGGTGGTGACAATCATGCTAGCTCCCTAGAACAACAGATAGCACTGAATAAGTTGTGTTGGCTCGGGCACGTGCTAGGTATGCCTGGTCACCGCTTACTTAGGAGGGCATTGTTTAGTCTGCCAGGTGTACGGTGGCGCAACGCTCGAGGTGGACAGATGTTGACTTGGCAGCGGGAAATGAAGATTGACGACCAAACTGGGTGCCGTTGGTCCGTCTCGCCATCCGGGCTGGAGTCCACGAGATTCGCCTTGTGCTTGGCTCGACACTTTACAGGACATGACTGGCAACCGACACCAGTGGCGCGTCTGCTGCCATCTCCTAATCGGATTGCCTGTTTAAAGTGTGTGGTGCTGAGTTATCTGCGAGGTAATGGCTGATTATGACGCGGAGCAGTGAAAGCCGCAAGGAAGCAGTCTCGCCGATGCCGCCTTATCTTTGCACGCTAGCCAGCTGTTTTTGACGGTATGTTGTCTACACAAGGTGTAGGCGCCTTGACCCTGAATGTTTGCTTAGGGCATTAAGGTTTTAGGTAAGTCCCCTTCTCCCCCTCTTTTTATTCTTTATTTCATAGGTCCTCATGGTTGTATCGGAGCGAAGCGGCAGTTCAAATGGCCGATGTACTGCTGATGATGATTGATGATGATGAGGTGTTTCACTGATATATATATATATATATATATATATATATATATATATATACGACGGGTGTTCAAAAAGGAACCGGACTATTATCATAACACCATTACTACTCACTGCACAATAAGCACTTTCCACCTCAAAGTAGTCCTATCTACTGGAAATACACCGTTCCCAAAGGTGCTTCCATTTTTTGAAAGCTTCCTGGAACGCACTTCCTGAGATAGCGCGCAGGTCACTTGTCGCATTGTTCTGAATCCTCTATGGTTTGGAAACGACATGTCTTCAGGGTGGTTTTAAGTTCGGGAAACATAAAAATAGGTGCACGGGCTAGGTCCGAAGAGAACGGTGGATGGAGCACAACGGGAGTGTGATGTTTTCTTAGATAGCTCCGAAAAAGGAACGATGAGGGAAACGGCATATTGTCATGATGCAACATCCAAGTCTGATTTTCCCACACTTCACACCTGTATCTGCGCACAACATCCCTCAAACGCGCTAGAATTCCTTGGCAGACTTCCTCGTTTACCATCTGACCACGTGGTGCAAATTCTTGATGGACAATGCCGTTGCAGTCAAAAAACACAACAAACATCACCTTGATCTTTGACCGGTTCATGCGTGCTTTATTTGACGAGGAGACCCATTCCACACCAACTGCGACGACTGCACCTTCGTTTCAATATCCTAGTCATAAACCCACGTCTCATAGTCTGTCCGGATTTTGTTGGGGAAGTTTTCACAGTCACTGGAGGTGGCAAACAGTTCCTGCCTGATTTCAACACCGTTCGCTCTTTGATCGTTAGTCAAGAGACGTGGCACGGATTTTGCACTGACACGGCGCATCTCAGGTTTGTCACTCAAAATTTGATGGCATGATCCAACGCTGATATCCACTTCGTCAGCAAATTCACGAACAGTTAAACGACGATTTCCACGGATCATATCACGAACTCTGTCGACACGGTCATCATCTGTGAAAGGTCGTCTGGGCTTGCGATCGTCACCGACCGACATTCTTCTGTGTTCAAAACATCTAAACCACTTATAGCACTGCGTGCGATTCATACAGTCCTTTTGGTATGCTTGCCCAAGCAACCGAAAAGTCGCTGTAAAAGTTTTTGCAAATTTGTAGCAAAATTTCACTTACGCACGTTGTTCTGCAAGCGCTTTCATCGTCTCTTTGGCGATAATCTGAGGAATAACGTGCACGTACTCACTTCAGCGGCTGTAGCTCGCCAACTAACAGTCGGAAGGAAATGTGTTACTGGTAGTTTGTTCTCTGAACAAGCCCCTATGTGAGCATGGCAGCCGCAGCGTGCTCCCTCCGCCGGTTGGCGCGCTGCTTCAAAAGTTGGTTTCTTTTCGAACACCCCACGTATAACTAACAGTCCAAGTAATGGACTGCATGACGGGATGATGGTCGTGGGGGAAAATCGCATTTTCAACTCAGTTGATCAACTGTGATTTCGGCACTGTTGGGTGTATATGCCTGCCCCTGGTGTGTTGGGGTTTTGATGCGCAGTTTAGATTACTAATCATTGCGATCAATGAGACCGCATCCGAAAGGGACACATTTTGCATACTGCCCTCTCCAAACAATGCACTCAACTTGCCATGGAAGCGCAGTGATACGAAGGAGCAGCGTTGAAATCGTATTCATCGTAATGGATCTAGCGGCGATCAGAATAGACACCAAAATAATAGGGATAATGAGTGAACCGGGAAACGTAAGATCGTTAGATAGGAAAATAACCCGTTAACAACTGCGTCAGACGTCACAAGGAATCCAACACATCCTGACCATGTACCAATCCGAGTAAGAAAAACGGAGGAAATAGCATCTAATCTCATGGGAAGAAAACGAGGTAGGTCATCTGTAAATGGCACTGTCACATAAAGGTTGGATGCATTAAGGTACAGAAACATCCTTGAGGAGAACGGAAGCCTGAGACGCGGTAAAGGCAACAAGGTGAAACACTTTTGTGTAATAAAGTGAAAACGTAAGCATCGTGAAGATAACGGGCTGTGTGTGACATTACGTTAGTGATGGAAAATGTATGCCTGAAATCCGGAAGAAAAACGAAGGTGGCGGTTGATTTCATGACTTGAGAACAGGGGAGATACATGAATATGAATATGAATGGCATGAAGAAAACAAATGGACAATTTACCTTTTTTATTCGATGGCTGCATAGGAAAGAGAAAGGAATGAGCTGAAGAAATTGTAAGACAAAAGGATAAACAACCAATCTTGACTGATTCACTAAAAAGCAAAGTCAGTAAGGTTCCAATACTCATCGCAACAATGTCAAAAGGATCGAGGAACATGTTGCAACGTTAAAATGCACGCGCGATATTAGACATTGTGTGGTGGGAGTTCAGTTTTTTTATATGCAGTCTTCTATGGATAGATATTAAACGGCCAACTGTGGTTGACACATGAGCTACAAGTAGACTGCCGGCTCGACGGGAAGAAAAAGAGATAGTACATGGGATAAAGAGTAGCTCTAGCAAACGGCGCAAAACCGAGATACAAAAAATACTAAGGGGCACTGGTTCAAGTAAGATGGAGAATCACAGCCGGGAAGTAAGAACGAGCGGTGGAATATTCTTCCTCATTCCTGAGTTAGCCAGTGATGAGGTGAGGATCATGCATAAGAACCTGAAAAATGAAATCGCGATTCGGTAAGTGTGCGTAGCGACAAAATGGTGGTCGCGGAATACAGTTCCGCCGATAATGTTTCCTAGCCTGGCGTTGATAGTCAAAGCGATTAGTTAACAGGTCAGTTCGACACGGTCAGTTTCAGCTGCAGCTTCTTCTGTCACCAAACCGGTACCTAATTATAGTGAAAAAAATCATTGCACAAGGTCAGTTGAGACACTTGAGCTATTCGCGCGGGATATAATAAAGTTGGGACTAGACAAGGAAACGGGAAACTGAGAGTGTATGCCGGTAGCCGGAGAAAAGACGGAACTAAACAGTGGCCAGTCAATAGGGTGTTTATACGGTCGCACACAGTGCTCGCATGCGAGTAGCGATGCTACTAAGCGAGTTGTTGTTTTTTCGATGTGTACACCCACCGTAGGTGAAGTGATGAATAGAAAAGAAGTTTATATGTAAAACGCCACAGAATCGACGGGGAGGAAAGGCAATCACAAGAAACGAGGGGAAGCGAGGAGTAAAATCGATTCGCTGTTATTACATTAATTTCGTATGTAATCTTTGCAAGGTATTCATTCCGATAGTTTACAACCTACATAGCACAGCCTAGTCCGGAAAAGCACCAGGCGTTTCTCCCTATTGGGACTCGTCAGTGGTACGCATTCCCTTGGTCATCTAATGAAGATCGAACCCATGACCGCTAGAGCCAGATGCCAACTAGCCAATTTCGTATGTCCAAAAGGACGGAAAGGTTATCACACTACAGCATGCCGGTATACAACAGTCCACCATCAAGTCACACTGTCGGAAGAAAGCAAAATTTGGACTGTGATTAAAATTCCAATTGTTCGATTCAGAGATAGGGTAACAAGCTGTGAAACAAGCTTATCCAGTTATGGTAGGTCATTGTATAAAGAAACTATCCCAGGTGGTCAAAAATGGAGCCAGGAAACTTTCGCACAACGAATAAAACCGTCAGGCTATTTCATTTTCAATGATCACAGACTTTCAACAGGTACCGAGTTACATATAACAAAGTGCGCTCCGCATTGTCAGGATTGACACCATTGAATGTGCATATAGTTGCACCTTGCCACGTGAGTCCCACGCTCCTCGTACACTTTTGTCTGAACTGTTATGGTACCACAGGGAAGAATATACCGCATCACGCAAACGGGCGAGCTATTGAAGCCATCAAGAAGATGGTGGGCTGTAGACGGCTAAGCGAATAAATCAATCAAGTGTCGATACAATGATGAAGTGCATCACAGTCGAACGCATCATATCGATACACATGAGCTCGTGATCACGTAGAAGGGACGGCAGACTGAAACCAGAGTCGCTATCCTTATCGACCCATTTCGTTTGACTCCACTCAGTCATTTGGGAACACCTAGTGTAACGCGCTTATCTACCCATGAAATTCTTCTACTCTTCGCTTCGTGGTCTAGTCTACAGACCTTGGCCGACCGTTGATGGATATCGACCAGCGTTCACGTGCGCCTCCTTACATTCCCATTATTAGCGTTGTAGGTGTGTCTGTGTGTGCATGCTAATCCCCGGCACTGGTTCCGTGCGTGTGCGGCTACCGACGATCTTGGATCTCCAACCCTACTCTTCGCCGAACAGGACACGTTCAGCCCGGAACATGTGTCGCACCCCCTCCACCGTTCACTGGTCGCGCGTCCAAACACCATGTTTATGCGTGCCATTAAACTCTCACCCTGTGATTGGACCATCCCTTGATTGGTCAACGCCATTATTCTTAATGCTCGTAGCACTCAGGTGTGGTGACTTGTTCCTTTGATTGTCCGGCGTAGACAACTCGTTCCCTACTATTGTTTACTGACACCTTGTTGTCAACTTGCATATACCGGGATATTGAACAATTGAAGTATGTCCCAATTATCAACTGTATATATTTTAATAGTACCGTAGTATTTGTGATCCGACTTGTTTTGATTTCGGGATCTTTGGTTACGCGTTATTCAACGTTCACGGTGGGCGTTACACCTAGTTTGACACGAATATTTTAACCACACATGCGTGACCATACCAACTCCAACCACTCCAATTCATATGGGGACTGGCAAAAAGGCAACTCGATGCTACAGCCCAGCGTTCAGCACCAGGTCCCCAATCACCTTCCATCATCATCATCATCATTTTACGTTAAGTTGGGCTGAGAAATATCTTAGCTAGTGTCCCGCAATATAAAAAGGTAAGGTATACGAAAGAAAACAAGAGAACAGGGATTGTAGGATACGGAACAGAAGCAAGTAATAGTAAGCCATGTTTCCGATTACGAATCGATTTTGAAATCATGAGTGGAAGGGAAAATAAACAGGCGGAGGAACAGAAAAACCCATAACACGAACGTCAACGAAGTCGGCTCTCTGTCGTGTCAACAAGTGTGCCCAAACCGAAGGTGTTCGTCTCCATGGGGACCCCAACCCGGTGGCCAAATGGATTACACACCTGCGTTGTAACCCACAGATCGCCGGCTCGAATCCGCATAGGTGTGGGCGACCTCGCGGTATAGCCAGTCCTCGCACGATTGCCGGTGGTGGTCGCGTGGCAACAAAGCGTCGGTACAGTGTGGTGGCGTACTGAGGTTGATATGAGTCGGAAAGCCCCAACCGACGCCAAGTTCGAAGTGAGGGTTTGCATTCCTCTTGACCACGTCATCGGTTAGTCACCACTCCCCTTCTTCTACACACAACGCCATCGGTGTGCTGACATGCGCAACACGTGATCCAGCCATCGTGGGCTGGTGCGTGATATAAGGGCACTGCATCAAATACAACACGACGAATACGCTCAGTGCACACGCGCTGCTCCCACCAGACATGAGCTAAACTGCAAAGGTCCAGACGGTGGAATGTAACTAGCCTCTTTACACCTGGCATCTGATGGGCCAGGTTTCACACTAGTACAGGAGGGCTGAATGACCGCTGCGTTGTAGTCTACTCCTCAGGGCATAAGTGACGTCACGCCGATATCCCAGTGGCGGAGATCAGCAAAAACGCCTCGAACCTTTGCTATACGTATCGCGATCTCATCTTCAAGTTCACAGGTGATAATAGAACTGTCTAGGTACCTGAAGTTTAGGATAAATTAAAGCAGTGACGGAACTCTGCTAATCTTGGAGAAAGACTGCATTTCAAAGGTGTAAAGTATATGCTCGACACAACTGACAACCAGTACTAATTTGTCCAGCGGTCTGAAATGAGCACAAACAAGTATTAATATCAGCATAGTGCTTGTACAACACATGTTTATACAACGGGTGTATGTATGTCCCATACCCATCTTAAAAAGCCAGCGGTAATAGTGACGTCGTTAGCGTACATGGGTCCCGTTAACTCCTGGGTACCAAGCGGTTGCTGCTGATAATATTCCACACTCGTTCGTACATTGGATTGAACAATTGGGTGTAGTGATCAACAATTATCCCTGGAATTCATGTACTCTACAACCCTTCCTCGCTTTGGAATGCAGTTTGGAAAATCGGTGTTCAAGACCCAACAACTTTTGTTGCAAGTGTCCACACGTTGGCTCGTCCATGTAAGCTGAATAATCCCGGCAAGTCAGTGACTAGCGATTAACATGCTGATGTTGATGCTACATGTTCTGTTTCATATATTAGTCACAATAATGGGTGTAGCTATATTTCCAGCTGAACATCGCTCATACTGAAGTTAGGATAAGTCAGCCATTATCGAGATAAGGTGCGGAAGAGCAAACGTTCCTTTTACAATTTAAATTAGAAATGACCAATCATCTAGATTGACTTAAAAGTAGATTAGTCCAACTATGGTGTTACGGTAGTGTTTAAATAAATATTTAATTGGAAAATACCTTCAGCACAGGAACAATTGATTTGTATGCTGACAGTTTGTTAGTAAATTGTAAGTGGTAAAATTATGATGAGAAATCCAGTTCGCATGGGAATATCATACGTTCAGTTAACCACCTTATCTGCGCCATCTGCCGAGGCTCTTGATACCCATTATTTGTCTGCCCTCATATGATTAACTATGCAATGCTCACTGTTTCCATTGCAAATCACACCATTGGTATGGAGATTTACTGGTTCACTGCTTTCTCAGCCATGTCTAAGTGGTTCCATTCCAAATCCCGTTGTGAAGATATCATCGTGCCCAGGTGTCCCACGACATACTCATTTCAGAGATATTAGATTATTAAATGTTGGGCAAGGTACTTCTTGTAAGTTTGCTAAAACAGCTTGCACACTCTTTCAAAAGCCGATGATAGAACAGGGAGCAGCGGACTTTTCCACATGTGCATTTAGTACATTTAGTTGTGCATCATTCTACCTGGTAACCATACTCACAGCATTTGCTTTCGTATTTCCATATCTGTCTCAATCTATTGTTGATACCCACACTTCTGACTAAACTTAAGGCTGTCGTTTCGGTTCCCATCCAAACGCTAACTAACCACTGACAGTCGTATTGGTTACTTATAATTCGACTTGCGATTTTCTAAAACTAGAGCAATCTGACTGTTCTTCTTTCATTCAATCCAAACTCATGCACGTACGTTGTGCTATGGTTCATGACGGTTAGTATTTCTTCATCCAGTTTGTGGTAGTCCATACACAAGTGTGAACAAATGCCCGTTTGCAACATTGCAGGTACTGTCACTCGAACCAAGGACTTTCAGTATGTCAACTGATATCTCACGTTGAATGACTAAGTGGAAGCCATTTAGAAACAGTTATAAGCACCACAATTCAGCCTGACGGACTGATGGTATCTTCACTCGCGTAACACCATGATCTGCTGACTCGATGTCTAAATGGGACTCGGCTAAAGTACAAAACGCGCTAACATCTGTTCGTGTCTCGATACATTACCACTTGACAGATGGATCTTATTACATTTCTTCTCGTGTGACACCGTGACTTATTAGGGGTTGCAAAATGTGGTCAATGTATCCCATCTCAAGTGTCTCTATACGCCCCATTGTACTGCGGCCGCCTTCAGGTAAACGCACTGAGATTCAGACAAGTCATCAAGGTTGATTCCCGGAACAGCGGCAATACGTTGTGATATCCGAATCGAAATGCATGGGCATAGGTAGTATTCTAAACACTGATGGATTGGTCAAGATATGCTAGCGGTCCGAACGAATGACCAAGGGGAAATAAATAGTAACACATGACGGACTGCTTGATGGTTCTACCTCCCTGTTGATTCTCGCTCACCTCGGACAACAGACGATTAGAACCGGCTCTGGTTTTACCTTACGACACGGATAGCCTGCAGTGGACATAATCGCACCATTTCCCTGCTAAATTGACAAGTTGCTTACGCCATCTCCGTCATTCATTTTGGTGTCATCCTTATTCTATATACCGCATGTAAGTCGGGCTTGGATGCAGTTCATTTTAGAATGATTAACTACTGATTTGGTGCAATGTGGTATCTTTATTGCACCTGCCTAGAACGGATGAGCCACAGGTAACCTAACTTTTTTAGGCTTATTTAACTCGGTTGTATTACGCGATGACTTCACGTGTTGCCCATTACGATATTGTACTCATCATGATCTATGCTATGCTATTCTTGCTACCTCATCAAGCGGCGTCTAGTAAGGTTACATACCGAGAGTGAGCTATGGCATCTTCATTTTCGTATTATTATTCGGCCGCGATTCATATCACTATGTCAGCTCCATGGTATTGCTCACCATAACTGTAGCTTGACTAGCTGCTCAATGCTAACTTGCATGATGCTTAGAGAGCCGGTGCATCGCAGAATAATGGTTCAGTCCATCCATGAGGTCATTCGTAATTGATGTGAGTGCGGTATTTCCGAGCGATTTGTGTGCTTACTACGGATCAATGCTAGGGTGGCAAATTATTGTGTATGTTTCCAGTTCGATGGATACGTTTGAATCAAAAGGTTATCATCGCTTGGCCGTTTACAGTACGCATAAAATGTCAAATTTGACATTTGTAACACAATGCTCAACGATTGTCCTTCGTGTGCCCACTTTGGATTATGCATTCGAAGAGAAATTTCCCTGGAAAATCTGTGTCAAGTGAACAATCCCGACAATTAACCGACTAGCGATTATCACGATGTTGCCATTCCATGTTCCACTCCGCAGGCTAGTGATGAGAGTGAGTATAGTTATAGTTCCAGTTATCCCTCAGCCATACTGAATTTACCGGGGGCTTATGAAACACACGTATTAACCGGATGGAAGGCAGACGTGCAGAGACGCCTACCAGAATTTGCATTGCACATGGCCAATCTTTTGAATGGATTAAGTAAAAGGTTGCATCTAACGGGAATGGTACGTCAATGTGTTATTATATAACATCGGAAATGAATCGGCGCATAGCGACAATGGTTTTATGAGTACCGAATGGGCTGCACCTGGAACGTACTATATAGACCGTTAGCAAATAGCTTATGGCCACAGTAGAGTACAGGTCGGTAGGTATAACCGGTTGAGTACTTGGACATTTGCACAATAAATGTGAACACTGTTTGGAAAGTCGCATGTTTGACAGTGGGCAGCGGGACTTAGTTGATGTCACTTGTCAATACCAAAGGTTGCGCATCAATCGTTCTTTGAGTAGGTGCACATGCCTCGGGCAGCACATGACCGAACCGGTCGGAGACACAGAGAGCCAGAAGTGGACACTGTATCGCATTCACATGCTGTGTGATCTCCCACATCAGCTACTCAAACCAGACTGTACATGTAGAGGGCAACACCTAAGTGCACACTATTTCACTGTACCAGTAGTCTAGTCATCATTCTACCTAGCAGTTGCTTTACTATTGCCACATCGGATTCCTTCAAATATGGATGCCCAAAATTTAAGGCAGTCACGTCTAAAGGTAGAAGAAAACATCAACAGTTCGTATTGGGTAGTTATTCTCATACCTGCGAAAGTGGCTGTTAGCCTGACCTCCAAACGAAACCCATACACGTTTGTCATACCATTGATGATGATGTCTAATGTGCCTCTATGCAGTTTGTGACAGCTCACACTTAAGTTTGGATAAACGCATGTACATATGTTGCATTCGAACTGCCATTGGACACAGATGACGCCAATCTATGTATATATGTATACCGAATGAATTCCACGAGGATCTTCATACCGCTTTTGTACGGTTAACTTAGTGCAGTAGAACGACATTCGAGCAAACCGAAAATAATATTACCAGAACATGAGGAAGGTGAGTTTATGACAAACTCATGTTGATTTCAGGTGTTGCGAATCCAAGGCAAATTTGATCGATGCGAATTCCGTGAACTACTCAAAAGGGCGGTTTCTTAGGTGCCGGAGAAGGCACTATAGTATGTGGAATAGAAGCACCATGAGTATGTTCCCATTCAATTTACTAATCCAGGCCAATAAGGCGGCGTATGTGGTACGTTTGCCTGCGTGATGAGTAATCTTGCATTTCAGAAGTAGATGTTGCTTGAGCACCCCTGTGTGGATGCGCCTGATGTGAATGTTGACAAGGTGCCTACCTGTCTATTACCCACTACCTCGTCCATACTGGCTCCAGGAGACAGTTGGTCGTCGCTGGAGGGGACGGAGTGCACCGTCCTCGTGATGGTGCTAGGCTCAAAGAGTGGTTCCATGCAATCTGTGTGGAACGGGCTACGGTCCAGCCACCGCCTCGTGTACGTCTGGTGTGTATGGTTTCCCAATTAGGCCGGAATGCTTCCGATCTGCTTGTTGAAGGAGTGTGGGCCGGCTCCGTTGATGAAACGTGGCTCCCATCCGCATGCCTCCCGGTCTTATTCCTTCGGGTTTACACTGGATATGGGGTGTGTGGGTGGAACTATGGGTGGTGCAGCGCAAGCCACCCATGGTCCCCTTTGTAGGCGCAGGCGTCCTGTGACTGTCCCCATGGACGTCACAGTGACAGGCAAATCCGGATACGGACGCCGCCAAATCATGTATGTCCCATAAACCTTCTTGTTTGACACCAAAATTGTTTCCTGTGTTAGTACTCTGGTTCCGTGTTAATGAGCAACTATGTTTCATCCTAGGTATTTATTGCCTAAAGAGGCGTCTCGCGTTGCACGAGAATAAAGAAGTTATTTATTTATTTATTAAGAAATGTTGCCAACTTCACAGTTAGTGTATCTTTTGGACCGCGGCGGGTGCAAATGCTTTGCTGATCACTTACAGAGCGGTACAGCACGCCGCAGAGTATCCAATACTCACTTGGGAATAGCGATATTATGTGACAATACAAATGGCTCTGGTTGCTAAAAATGATCTACGGGCCACTGCCAGTTTTCTGACCAGAACCGTATTGCTTGCTCTAATGTTGCAAGAGTCTTGTAAAACCAATAAGACGGTTACGTTGGTTTTTTGAGGAATAAAGAATATCTTCCACATTCTCACGCTAGATACAGTGACCTGGCCAGCTGAATTTTGTGTGTTCTGGGCTGATAGAAGCCTTGACTTGCGTCTGGGTTAAACCTGCACTAAGTGCTTCCGGTAGGATGAAGTCAGCTTGAGATGAAAATTGCTGACTGATAAGTGTGATGTACGAATGAAAAACACAGCAGGTCCTCCAGCAAACAGTCTCAATGCGAGCTAGCCAGCAGTATAGTTAGGTTGTGTTGGGTGACACCTGTAAACGGTGAAACAAGTGTAAATTGAGTGAAATGTTTGGAAAACGCAAGTCTAAAGTGTGAGAAAGGAGTAGCCGGAGAAAGTTTATCAAAATGGATGTAACTAAAAGCAGACCCGATCAGGCCGGTACCAGATGGATAGCAATGCTTTCCACCGCGGTCATACCTAAGTAATAAAATAGAAGGAAGTGTTGACGGCATCTAGCTGACCTTAGCGATGAGAACATTTACCAAACCTGAGGAAAATCAACCGATTTAATACAAAGCACGGGGCTTATGGTAGCTAATTTATGTGACTACTGCAAGGACCGTACAGTGCGCGCACTAATTCGATAAAGCCGATGAGGAAAATTAAAAATACGACCAAATACAAACGATTGTTGACGAGGAATATATGAACTCACATGTCCTGCGGTGGAGTTTACTGGTACTATATCCGTGGCGAAAAGACGAGTGCGGGGCACGTATTTGTAATTACGCCTGAAGTAAGAAAGGGCGTGGAGTAATGACAAACACTACAAAAAAGAACAACGCATTAATGTGTAAAGTCATATAGTGCTGGAAACTATGGTTGCTGATTGCATTCACAATAATCGCAGCACAGAAGCAAGCAATAGAAGTCTAATAATGATATTCGTGTAACAAAATTAAAGCGGATTATCTAAGGCGACGGGGTATGGTGGATGGGACTTCCTGAGTACCGAACAGTAGCTCACTCCGAGGACAATTTACCAAGCAAAATCTCCTAAAAGCTAACAATGAAAGACCAAAGCTTAGGGGTTGTACGTATAGCTGATTTGGCAGACAGCGTGAGTGCTAATGGCTGTCTTGTCGGTGGTAGACTGCATCTATCCCTGTCTGTCCAAATCCAGTGGGTCCATGATCAAAAACGCGAAAATTTCCCAAAAACTCGCTCTGGTGGGAAGACATAAATGACTAGCGTTTCATCTTACACAGATGTGTGTTGTGCAATTCGCACATGACCAATGAGGCGATATTGCATTGGCTCCTAGTGGATGACAATTATGTTCAAACGCGATGCACACATAAACCATCTAGAAAAGACAGTGATCTACCGAAAAAAAAAACAGTAGCATTGACTAAGCAGTAGTAGGTTGTTAACATCGGTAGCTAGGGCTTGTTATCAAAGCAAAATATCGATTTGGTGGAGAATAAGGTCCAAATTTAGTGAACGAAAGAGTGCGATAGCTCGAAAGCAAGTGTCACTCGACACTCCTATAAGCTTTGATTTCGGGAGTGTCCGACTTCGGTGACTAGCGTTTGTCAGAGTTCCAGTAAGCGTTTAAGATGGTAAATGACCAATCGTTAATGGGGCACCAAAGTGGATTGTAAAGAACACTTTTGCTTAAATGCTATCGCCCTACACCTGACCCAAAGCCCCTATCCGATTGCCCCCGTTCCCCTGATTGAATTTACAAGTAAAATTGAAAATCTGCTGCCTTTCCACACACTTGATACCCATTCCTGTGTGCACTTTGTTCCCCAGACCGAACGCTTAGTTGCATCCATTCAACCAGTGTCATGGTCTTCCATTGTTTAATAATCGATTTTCTGTGTGCCTCCGCTGCCTCTCGCTGTGTGCTCAGTCGCTGCATCATGCTTATGTTTGACTTCCCTATGCGTGTCTGACTCCCGATGTGATAATGCCTCGCGTTTTGTCCTAGCTCCAGGACTAGCACATCTGGTTTGGTATGACTGACGCACTAAAACTGGATTGCGCTCCCACCACCCAAGATTCCCGACAGCTTTGTGGTTGGTCCCATGGTTGTGGCCTTCTGCTTAGGCCGTTGATAATGCTATCAATTCCAGTCCGACATTGTCGCCGTTTCAGTTTTTGCGTGTTATTTTTGACCGCAACGCCGATCTGCTGTTGAAAGAACGGCTTCAGCCATTTGTTGGGAAAAACGTTGATGTTGTAATTGTCACATGTATTATTTGCAAAACAGTACCGTAGTTCAAGCACTGTGGCTTTTATCGTTACCGGTGGGTTCGTCTTAGTTCCGGTCTTTTGTTGTCCATCGAATCGATCTTGGAATCTGCAGCTTAGTTGTCTACGCGTTGTTCCACTATTCCCTAAACGCATTTGTCGCTTACATGGATAACCTAATAAAAACGGCAATGTTCTCTGCATATATGCGAACCCCCAACATTCGCGTGTCTATAGTACTAGAATGTAGCTGATCAAAGGAAACGACGTCAGGTCTAACCGGTTACATACCCAGAGAAGCGAACAGAAACAAACCGAAAGATTGAATCGTGTTATCTTCTAGAGTCGATCGTATTCGTAAGGAATCTGATACCTACTGACAGTTAGATGCAACCATACAAAAGTGAAATCTGGTCGAAAGTTAGCAGCGGGCGATTGCACTGGGAAGAGGGACTGGGCTCAAATCTGCAAAATTCAAGGAGTGAATCTCAGGTAGGAAAATGAGGAGTATCACAGCAAAGTCAGCTCCAGAAGCAGAGTAATGAGAACAGGTCGGTGTAGGTGTAAAGTCGGACGTCGAGGGTGTACTGGTAACATAAACGGTCATCATCATCAAAATCATCATCATAATTGCACGTTAGCTGACGGTAGGAAATCTCAGATACTGCACCGCAATACAGAGGAGAGAAGAGGTATCAGCAGTACGCCGGTACGCAGTACCGACGCTTCGTTGTCGCGCAACCACCAACGGTCGTAAGTCGGTTAAGGATTCTGCGATGGTCGCTCTGCCTCTGCGCAGACTCGAACCCGTGCCGTCAGATTATAAGACTTGTTGCCTTTAGACCGGCAGTGCCGCAACACAAAAAGATGAAAAACGAGATATTAAGCAATACAGAATACAAGGGCATGGAGTGTGAGATCGCAGTTGCAGAGGGAAGCTAGGAGGGAGGGAGAGGGACAAATAAATTCACAACACCAATGAGGTCGGCTATTCGCCATGTCAACAAGTGGCCCCAAACCAAACGTGTTAACCGTGACTGAGACCCCAGCTCGACAGTCTGTAGACACCAACAGTCGGAGGATGAGGTCTGAAACGCGGTCGCAGCCTTCAATCGTGTTCGTGCTGCTAACCCGGATTCTCTTGAACCCGCACTGTTTAAGGATGATTGCAATATCCTCTGCAAAGCACTGACCCCTCTGTTCGAACATGTCTGGGAAGAGGAGACCGTCCCGGCTAACTGAAGTGATCTGACTACAGTGGCAATAAACAGGAAGGGCAGTCGTACCGAGTGTGCGAACCACATGGGTATTAACCTAACGCAGGTGGTGACTAAATTACTGGCCTCGATTTTCGTTTGTCGCCTCATTGCAGAACAGGAATCCCGGACTAGAGGAGAGCATGCAGGTTTCCACTCAGGACGGGGTTGTACAGGCCACATAGTCACTCTGTGGCAGGAGCAAGAACAGCGCCACACCTACCGCAGGCCGACGACAACAACAAGAGCAGCAGCAGCAGCAGCAGCAGCAGCAGCAACAACAACAACAACAACAACAACAACAACAACAGAGGAACATCGACCATGTTAACTGATGCTTCGATTCTACACAAACATGGTGACCTACAGGACGAAGAATAATAACAGGGAGAGAAGGGGGACCTACCGTAAAACGTTGATATCCTGAACAAACATCCAGGGTCAAGGCGTCTGAACCTTGTGTTAACAACGTACTGCCACAAGCAGCTGGTTATGGTGCAAAATTAAGGCGGCATCAGCGAGAAAGTTTTCTTGAGGCTTACACTGCTGACAATAGCTACGCTCCTGGACATCAAGAGTGTGTTCGATTCGGTCGATCGATCCATTCTGTTTGAGGTACTTGTACGGAAAACTGTTCCCACGAAATACGTGAACATTCTGTTTACCTCGTACTTGAACGCCACAGGCGGCGTCAGAGTCTACGGTGACCTATCGGATACCTTTACGACAACAAGTGGTGCTCGTCAATATTACCCCATTCCCCCCCCCTTTGTTCAACTTCGTCGTGTACTCCATCAGAGAGCGTTCCTTTGGGGAATCCCATGATGCAGACGTTGAGGTGCTGCCTGGTGAATAGCTAGGTGACCAGGATCATGCGGACGATAGTGTCCTCCATTTTAACGATGTTGGAGTGGCCCAATCAATCTGGAATAACGACGTCACTAGAGTGGCACCGTCATTCTGTTCACATTTCGCAATTTCGAATTGCAAACAGGACCACTAGCCAGTTGATGATCCCTTGACTCTTAACAGCGAGGAACTCGTGGTAGTAGATCACTTCACTTACCTTGGCAGCTGCATCAGCAAAGATGGGAGCATAAAGCACTGAAGTCAGTTCACGTATTGCAAAAGCTAGAACTGCTTCTTGAATCTGTGACATCTGTGGCGTCAGAAAAGCCATGTTTACAAGGTCACAGTGGGGGCTGTCAAACACTATGGGAGTGAGAATTAAGGATCTCCGAGTCTTCAGGTCGTTGAGCACCGCTGTCTACATAGTACTGCTGATGTCGGATAACATAAGCGTGTCTGCAACGATGATGTGCGTAGACGAGTGCTTGGCAATGGTAATCATACTAGTTCTTTAATACAACAGATAATATTTAATAAGCTACGTTGGCATGGGCTGGTGCTGTGTATGTCTGGTCACCGCTTACCGAGGAAAGGTTTGTTTTGTATACCAGACGTAGGGTGGCGCAAGGCTCGAGGTTGGCAAAACTTAACTTGGCAGTGGGAAATGAAAGCACTGATGACCAAACTCGGTGCCGTTGGTCCGTCTCGTCTTCCAGGTTGGAGTCCATGTGACCAGGTTTGCGCTTGGCTTGAGCCGTTACAAGACATGGCTCGCAGCGGACACCAGGAGTGTTTTCTGTCGCCTTCTAGTGGGACTGTCTGTTTAAAGTGTGTCTGTTGCTGATTATGTCCCCGGGCAGTGAAAGTCGCTTGGAAGCTGTCTCGCTGATGCCACCATGTCTTTGCACGATAGCCAGCTGCTTGTGACAGTACGTCGTTGACAAGGTGTGGGGGCCTTGAACCTTATGGTTTAGGAAGGTTTTACGCTAGGTCCCCGTGTTCTCTCTCTTAGTATTCTTCGTTTCGTAGGTCACCATGGTTGCACGACAGCGAAGCATCAGTTAATATGGCTGATGTACTGCTTTTGCTATGGTTGCCAACTTCGAAGTGATGTTTGCATTTCTCTTGACCTTGGTCAGATTTGAAACACAGTCCAAGACGAATAATAGGCAACCAAAATTGGTCCAGTGCTAGTTGGTACGTTTGTGAGCTGTTACAGAATAGGGCAATGTCGTCGATGTACTCCAAGTCACTAAGCCTATCACTTGGGAGCAGCTCCACACCTAAGTTGTGTCCAGTGAACGTAGATTCTACCGCTTTGTTGATGACGTGGTTAAAATAGCAAGCTGAGAGCGGACAACCTTTAACAACTCTGTTGGAGACAATTAAAAGCGACGACAGTATTCTATAAACCCACGCTCTACTTTAGCAACGCGCGTAAAGCGCTCCGATGACATTTACATGTATATCGGGTACACTTTTCTTGAGCAAGCAGTTCGAAAGGATGTATCGATCCACCGAAGCGAAGGCACCTTTGATGTCGAAGAACGCGACTACGGAAGGTTGTCAATGAATATGGCTTTGTTCCAACAAAGGATATAATGTGAAGATGCGGGCAATACAGCCTCGATTTCGACGAAATCCGGCTTTCGCGGTTACCAGTCAGTCTACGCATTACGACGAGCAGAAGTGACTTATAGGCAATTGGGACCAGACTGTTACCTTTGACTGCCCGACTCCAAACGGGAACCCCCCTCGAAAATTGAGACTGCAACGGGGGAGCTCCAGTCTGCTGGCACATACTTCTTAAATGGCTATCAAGTATAACAAAGCTCCAAGATCTGTTTGAGAAAGTAAAATCGACTAAAATGATGTGATTTGATAGAACCAAGCCAGGATCTAAGGATGAACAGGCACAATGAGGTATCCAGGTAAGGGCGAAAAAGTGCAAATAAATTGTAAAAAAGACGTACAATATATCAACATCAAAGTACTCCTCTGGTATTCGAAACGGTAGCCGATTTGGTTCACGCGTGGTGTGCAAACAAGCGGCCCACTCGGTAGCCATCGCGCTACACTTGTACTGGTTGCCAGAATAACGTAGTGGGCCGTTTTTACAGCTTGGGCATAAGGCCAGTGCACCGAACATCATGGCATCGGAAACGGCGTCAAGTAAATTGGACAAACCGGAAGGAACGTGCTGGTCGTTGTACTCCAGCAATCCAATTAAGGCATCCTTGGAAACCTTCTGCTCTAATTGGTCGCGAAGCTTCCACAAACGTTCACTTTGTAGGCGAAGGGGCTCCTGAGCGGAAAAATTGAATATGGCGGTAACAGTCCAATGAGAACTGAGGGGTTGTCCATGAACACAATGCGCGTCGGAAAGGTGAATGTAACATGCGAGACAAAAGTTACAAGGTTGTGGTAGCAAACACCAGACAACCTGATGTACCATCTGAGATTAAGCTCAGAAATTCAGTGTCCGATATAAAACCTGAAAATGCTATCAATAAACATTCGGTGTGCCCACTGTTTGCGTCTTTACGTAACGATAAGTACGATCGGAGCAGGGTACGTCATCCCAGCTGAAGTATGTCAATGTGGTCAATCTGAATGTAACAGTGACCAGATACTGCGTCAAATCAGCAAAGACTGTCTAAATGCAGCACCGTTGGTGAAAAGCCCATGAACGATGCATAGTTCGGTAAACACTCACAATTGTTTATAAGTTCGCAAGTAATGGCTTACATGCAGTCTAACAGCGCGCTCATATCCCTCACAACTAAAACTGCCTGAACTGTTGAGAATGTGAAACTGCGCGGAATTTGTGTCAGAAAACATCTCTCTCAGTATCGGAGAACAAATGACTCCAAACGTCGATTCACGCACCAGCCAAGGCTGACAAACCCAAAAGGGGTGCATGCGGACGCTTACATAGTAGAACCCAATTAAGAAACTGAAGCTGAGAACGACTAGAAAGTGAAGCATCAACAGTAGTATAAGCTCGTAGCCTGCTGTGTTCAAAAAAGACTGATCCTGGTGTAGGATTAGATTTAATCGTTCAGGTTGTGGGGGCTGTGTGTGAGCTAAAATGCTGACACGGTCCAAAGTAAGGAGAGAAGAGGGTACCATTCGTAAATTACTGCAATGGAAATGATACCAACAAAAGCGGATAAAAGCGGGTTGGAATAACGCCGGAGTCCTCAAACTGAGGCAGGATCACCGACCCGACCTCAAGGTGCAAAAAGGATTGAACGACATAAACAAATACAGACACCGGCAGGAGATCGGATATGGAACGGCAAATGAATCTTAATTACGAACTTGAATATCAGCAGTTTTGCTTTCAACTTTTGGTTTCTTCGATGAGGACGTCTTAGCATCTGTAGGTTGAGGCCGTTTCCGGTTCTTTCTGCAGAATGAAAGGGGGAAAGATAAACTATTGGCTGCCAGCCAAATTGAAGACTGATAAGTATAATCATCCTATCAGAAAGACAGTTATTTGGTACGTCAGCGGGAGACTGCATCATTAGCTGTCATGAATGCAGTCAGCTCCATTGCGCATTGGAACTGATCACATAATAGACGGTTTGCGATAGATAAAGCAACAGCTGCTGCTCCGCCAAATATTAGACTTCCGTGTGTCGATTTTCATTTTTAACATAAATTCATAGGCGAGCAGCTGTCAAGAAAATAGTCTGCAAATTGTCCGTAATAAGATCAACCCAATTCGCAACAAAGCAGATACAACTAGGCCAGCATGCACCAGCAAGAGTGTCAACTCGTCGGGGGTACATGGTTGGCGGCATCCGGTTTCGGATTTGCCTGTCACTGTGGCCAGCCACAGGACGCCTGCGCCTACAGAGGGACCATGGGTGGTTTGTGCTGCACCACCCACACACCCCATATCCAGTGTAAACCCGAAGGAATAAGACCGGGAGGCATGTGGATGGGAGCCACGTTTCATCAACGGAGCCGGCCCACACTCCTTCACAGGCAAACACAAGCACACTGTATTTGGGGAATCAAACGCACACAAGGCGGTGGCTGGACCGTAGTCCGCTCCACACTGACTGCATGGAACCACTCTTCGAGCCTAGCACGGCCACAAGGACTGTGCACCCCGTCCCCTCCAGCAACGACCAACTGTCTCCTGGAGCCAGTATGGACGAGGTAGTGGGTAATAGACAAGTAGGCACCTTGTCAACATGCACATCAAGCGCAACCACACCGGGGATATCAAGCAACAGCCAATCACCTGGAACGACAAGATGAAATAAAATAAATCCAATAATGCATACAGATACGGTGGCATAACTCTTCGCTAAATTAGCATATGAAGTAAGTTGGTTAGCAATGAATCCGCTATAAGGAAAAAATGTCCACAAGTTACTCAAAAACGCTACAAACGCAACAAAGTTACCAAAGATAAGCGCAATTAGCGTAAGCAACGTGGCCAACTAATAGAAGATTATTCAGATAAGCAAAACAAACCAAATAAAGTGGAATGAAATTTATGCAGTTTAAAGAGACCTAGTTTAAGTGTAAGTTGGTTTAGCCCAACAGCGGTGAAGAAGCATCAATAATGCAACATCAGCCTCAGCATGGGGCACACATACATACATGGTTGGCGGCATCCGGTTTCGGATTTGCCTGTCACTGTGGCCAGCCACAGGACGCCTGCGCCTACAGAGGGACCATGGGTGGTTTGTGCTGCACCACCCACACACCCCATATCCAGTGTAAACCCGAAGGAATAAGACCGGGAGGCATGTGGATGGGAGCCACGTTTCATCAACGGAGCCGGCCCACACTCCTTCACAGGCAAACACAAGCACACTGTATTTGGGGAATCAAACGCACACAAGGCGGTGGCTGGACCGTAGTCCGCTCCACACTGACTGCATGGAACCACTCTTCGAGCCTAGCACGGCCACAAGGACTGTGCACCCCGTCCCCTCCAGCAACGACCAACTGTCTCCTGGAGCCAGTATGGACGAGGTAGTGGGTAATAGACAAGTAGGCACCTTGTCAACATGCACATCAAGCGCAACCACACCGGGGATATCAAGCAACAGCCAATCACCTGGAACGACAAGATGAAATAAAATAAATCCAATAATGCATACAGATACGGTGGCATAACTCTTCGCTAAATTAGCATATGAAGTAAGTTGGTTAGCAATGAATCCGCTATAAGGAAAAAATGTCCACAAGTTACTCAAAAACGCTACAAACGCAACAAAGTTACCAAAGATAAGCGCAATTAGCGTAAGCAACGTGGCCAACTAATAGAAGATTATTCAGATAAGCAAAACAAACCAAATAAAGTGGAATGAAATTTATGCAGTTTAAAGAGACCTAGTTTAAGTGTAAGTTGGTTTAGCCCAACAGCGGTGAAGAAGCATCAATAATGCAACATCAGCCTCAGCATGGGGCACACATACATACATGGTTGGCGGCATCCGGTTTCGGATTTGCCTGTCACTGTGGCCAGCCACAGGACGCCTGCGCCTACAGAGGGACCATGGGTGGTTTGTGCTGCACCACCCACACACCCCATATCCAGTGTAAACCCGAAGGAATAAGACCGGGAGGCATGTGGATGGGAGCCACGTTTCATCAACGGAGCCGGCCCACACTCCTTCACAGGCAAACACAAGCACACTGTATTTGGGGAATCAAACGCACACAAGGCGGTGGCTGGACCGTAGTCCGCTCCACACTGACTGCATGGAACCACTCTTCGAGCCTAGCACGGCCACAAGGACTGTGCACCCCGTCCCCTCCAGCAACGACCAACTGTCTCCTAGAGCCAGTATGGACGAGGTAGTGGGTAATAGACAGGTAGGCACCTTGTCAACATGCACATCAAGCGCAGCCACACCGGGGATATCAAGCAACAGCCAATCACTTGAGAGAAAGCTAACAAAGAAAAGAAATCGAGTAATGCATAAGGAAACGTGACAAAATCTTAAATTAATGAGCATATGAAATAAGTTGTTAACAAAGGATCCGAGATAAGTTCAGGGGGTCAAAAAGTATATTTTACGGAAATGACAAAAACGCGAAAATCTTATCGAAATTAAATACAATTGGCTTAAGCAAGTTGTGCAGATTTATAGAAGATGGTACAGGTGGACACTTATTTGAGAAAGAAAAGCATTAGGACAAACTTGAAAACCCACCACCTGAAATATAGAGACTTAGCATGCAAGCACGCGATTAGTAAATCGAATGCAGCGTACCTACAAACGCTGCGCTGGTTCTGCCTACGTTCTCTGCAGGACCCGTCGTCGCTTCGGTAGTGGTCCCGAGTGGCCTTGCTCATGGCTCACTAAACTTGGCTGACTCAGGCACTCGCGACCGCATGTGCTACAGCCCCATGCGCTTGATGTCGATGGAGAACAACCCATCGGTGCTTGCCGCCTCTTCTCTGCATGCATGAGGGCTCTCTCCTGCACCTCGGCAACTGCCTTCGTGATCAGATCGGGGGTACATACTGGCATACTATTAAACGTGTCATAAAACAGAGCCCGCTAATACAAGGGTAGAAAAACGAGACGAACTAAAGACCTATACAGTTAGTCCCAGAAGTCTTGTCCCTTTTTACTCTGTTACTCGGGGACTAAGAGTCACGTCTTCGGGTGAGAGGAGACCGCACTAAATTGCCAACTGTACACTAGTAGATGTTGGTCTTTTTCAAAATGTACCTCACCTGATCACATGGGTGTGAACGACCGGAGTGATGGCCGTATGTCTGCATCTGGGTACAGGTGTACTTGCCAGTCTCGTCCATCGTGAAAACGCTGGATGGGCGCGGATCGTTGAGTTGAAGTCAACCTACGGCACGCCACAGGGCAAGTTCACTGATCGATACATACCGTGATTCGGGCTGGTTGGAACGAAGACATGCGTGCAAAATCAAGACAGCAGTGCATCAGTACCGCACTACAGCGGTATAATTGTGATTGCGCTTGGACAAGCCAAACTGGCCTGAGCAAGGAGTGTTAAATAGGTGCATAGTGTTATGCCAGCTAATGACAAAAGGGTTATTGGCAACGCTCTTGTAAACTGAAAGTTAGCTTCCAACAACCCACTTTGCAAAAGAGGCATTCCTTTCAATTACGCCTTGCGCACATGAAATGTAAGGTTTTGAAAAAGGAGCCTTGAAAAGCTAAGCCGCCTGAAGACTACTCGCTGCCGCATAGCCTATCCTTCCGCCACAGCCATGATCGCAATTGCAGGAAACAAATGGGGTCACGCTGCCCGATTTATTTCCGTGACCGTGAGGGGAACAAAAATTGTCTTCACTACGGCACATGAGCGTTCATTCCAACATAGTCACTGATGAGGCAATATTCCATTTGCATGGGACTGAGAAACTCCGTTTCTAGGCAATAATTAATCCTCGCAGGTACTGAGATTCACGGATTCCACAAAACGTGAAGCTCATTGGCTCGCAAAAGTGATTGATCGTGTGGGTTCTCACGCATACTGTCTGTAAAGTCCAAAAGGAACTTTAATATATCCCCACCCTGGATTGCTTACATGAGGACACGGTATCTCTATTCCCTAATTATTCTGCTCATTTTACATTGCTTGACTCTGTGCGCTACAATCGGTTACCATATTACACATTTATTCCTTTCGCTGTCGATCACTGACATATCCTTGACGTTTCAAGGTCATGCATATTATTCGGTTGCTGTGACACTGCCCAAATACTCGCATGCCGACACACGCTGCACAATTTCTGCCCTCCTGCACTGCGATTGCAAAACCTATTCGTAAGTCATTTACTGTATTTAATATGCCTTATAGAACCATGGTTACAGGATAATTCGTTTTACTCTTCTGCCCAGACCGTGCGTTAAGTCTAGGTTTATTTGTTCGTAGTTTCTAGTTTAGTCTTCGTACGACGTACTTAGTTTAGGCTTCTTATCGTTGGTACACTGTCCACCACAAGTTAGTTATCCCTGACACATATTGCTGCAAACTCTGACTATCAAATTCAAAAGGAGCAATATGCGCTTTCACGGTCTGTATTCTGATTAAAAATCGTTGGACCATCTTTCTTTCCCCTTTATGTGACCGGTACGTTATTGTTTAGAAGCACTCGTCCCACGCCGGTCTGTGCGCCGATGAACAAGATAAAAGTAGGAAACCGCGCAGCCTATCCTCAGATCACCATCTCGTTCACATCCTCATCGTATTTCTTAGGTATAACCATGAAAAATTAGTGATGACATTGTGAACCAAGTTGCACAGAAGTGGTCAGTCTAAGCGCTATCGAATCGGCTTTGCTCGTTGAATACATTCGGGCCCGAGGCACATGTGACACCATTTGTCCGTGCACCAATTTAGTCTAAAAATCAGTCATAACGGTGAATACATAAATCAACAAACAACATAAAAAGGCGATATGTCCGTCAACAAAGAAAAAGCTCAACGTGCACGCCGGTATTCTGCTTGCAGTGCAGAAATCGCTTGAGGCAATTGGCTATGACTTTTGCAAAGTTTCCGTGTTGATGGCGAGACATTCGTTGACAATACTGTCTTTCAGTTGTTCCCGTGAAATAGGCGTTGTCGTGTAAACTCTTCTTTTCAAATAAACACAGGAAGAAATCTAAGGGGTTCAAATCTAGTGACCGGGCAGGCCGATTCTTTGGACCTCTGCGACCGATCCACCGGTGTTCGAAAACTTCGTTAAGGCAATCCCGCGCCGTTTATGCATAATGCACCATAGTGAAGCTATAACGGCTGAAGCGAAGTGCCGAAGTCGCCAACGAGGATCGGTGGTGAAAAAATCTCCATATTGTAGCTAAACATCTTCACTCCGTCGCTAAAGAACAGCTCCTACCCTAGAAACAACAACTCTGCTGCCTATGCAGTCTTGCAAAGAATAATCAGGAGCAAAGTTTTTAACTTTATGATACCACTGCACTGATCAAGCAATCAGTGCATGGCTTTATTTTAAGCAGCTCCTACGTTACTTGCCAACTGCCGTTCTTTCACCACGTGAGAACCATGATTGACAGAAGAATGGCGGTAATCATAATTGAGTGACTTGGCAAACATAGGTTAACGTCAGATTTGAATTCATTCTACCCCAACGAAGAATTGGCACCATTACTCAACGCTTAGACTGACCACTTCTATGCAACTTGATTCATACTGCCATCACTGTTCTTGGTTATGCCTAAGGAATACATGGAGGATGTGAACGAGATGGTGATGTGAGAATACGCTACACGGTTTCGTATTTGTATCATGCTCATCGGCGTACAGACTCCAGCAATTCATTCACAACACCCACCTGAGAAACCATCAGCCTGTATGGCAACGCAGTATACCCCGCTATAATGCCGCATTAACATCTCCCTGTGTGAGTGCTAGCTGTGGAATGTCATTCACTGGTACGAAATCTCAGTCAACAGTGTACTAGCGAATAAATTTCAGGCACTGTGTCTACGTCTATCGTGTGCATGCACTCACGATCATTTCGTTGCATGACCCCACTCTGTTTGATCACGCCCATAAATTATCACCATAGCATCTTAACAATATTTGGCCATCACAAGTCCCTTAACAGGTTCGAGAGTTTGACCGATGTTCTACCAGAACAGCGACCGCTAACACCGCCATTGCAAACTTCCCACGGCAAAGTCGGTTGTTCTGTCTGCCCATCCAGCATTGTCATGATGCACCACAGAAGCCCGGTACTGATGCACTGCTGTCTTGATTTTGCACGCATGTCTTCGTTCCAACCAGTCTGAAATGCAGTATGTATCGTCCGGCGAACTTGCTCTGTGGCGTGCCGTAGGCTGACTTCAACTCAACGATCCGCGCCCATCCAGCGTTTTCACGATGGACGAGACTGACAAGTACACCTGTACCCAGATGCAGACATACGGCCATCGCTCCGGTCGTTCACACCCATGTGATCAGGTGAGGTACATTTTGAAAAAGACCAACATCTACTAGTGAACAGTTGGCAATTTAGTGCGGTTTCCTCTCACCCGAAGAAGTGACCCTTAGTCCCCGAGTAACAGAGTAAAAAGGGACAAGACTTCTGGGACTAAATGTAGGAGTACGCACAAAAAGGTCAATAAGCAAGTTGCTCCAATCAATAGTTAAGAAGCAGCATAAATTGATAGGTAAGTTGTATAAAACACTTGCTCCGACATATCGACCATCCGGGCAGCTCTGATCAGAGTTGGGGCATGGTTAATCAATGCATTGGATAACGAGCAACAGGTTATTGTGACAAATTAAAAAGGAGGCTTGTAAAATCCCTTAGTGCTTTCATAATCGGCTTCCAAATTTAAGCTTTCAAATTATTTATCTGTACCAAGTAGCCGCAGTTTTACTAAGAAATAAAGTTGTTTGTAGATTTGGGTCATGCAAGCTAGATTCAACCAAACTAAATGCTCGGTTCATAGTTGAAAAACAGTTTTACGATCCTAGAAACTCGTAAAGAATTAAATACTCACTGAGGGAGGACAATCGAAGTGCGTATGCAAATGAAGAGACTGGTTTGAATAGCAAAGACTGGGATGGTGCAGCGGTATTATATTGAGCAATAGTGTGAGTTAAACCAGCGAAAAAAGCTCGTTTAAAGGAAATGCAACAAAAAGATGAACTTACTTAGCGGTCTCCTCTTGTGCCAATAGCACAGCTTCACGATCTATCTTCTTGAGCTTTTTGAAGCCAGTAAGTCTGTAAATGCAGCGCGGTTCGATGGTAAATCAGGATGAAAAGTTATCATAGGTGTAGCAGAATCTCAATGCCCGATAATCAAAGCTACATAGATGAGGCAGAAATAATGAAGCGCTATGATGTAATGACTAGGGAGACAACCACTTATGGACGTGTGATAGCGAAGTGCCGGTACAAGTTGCTTCCGAGGAAGTCGACGGTCGGTTCTTATAAATGGTCTCTAAGTTGAAAAAATAACTATTCCATGGGGTACGATCAAACAGCGAAAAGATCAAAGAAGATGCGAAACAGAGATCATTAGATACTCGTACTGCCTTAACTAGACGCTGCGTTAAAGAGTAAGGCAGAACACACCATCAAATGAAAGGGAATAGATCTGCAAGATACTGTAGCGTAGAAACGCGCAAAAACGGATGGAAAGTGGCATTTGTGTAACAAACATGGAGTTGTTACTACTCCTCTCGAGCACCGACCACAGACGTTATGCAACTTGGTACCCCTCCTTTGTCGATGCAAGAGTGGCGCTAAACTAAACAATGTGGTTAGCTTCCGGTGGCACGGCACCGTAGAAGACTGCGGAGCATTTCTATCCATCTTCTTGGACTCCTGACCACGTGCTGGTCTGTTCGAAGTCCTACAAGTGTTTTGATCACGATCATTATCATCATCAACACAAGTTAGTTGTGTGTGAGAAACACACCTCAACTAATGTGCCACAATACAAAACAGAAAAGACACAAAATATTTGTCTTACAAAAAAATCAAAAGCAAGTAATATAGTGTTAAATATTAGATTATGCATTTCTTATGAGATCGGGATTGGAGGGGTGGACAAAGAAACTCACAAAACAAACGCCACTGACGCCAGCTCTTCGCCATAGTAGCAATTGTGTCCAACCAATCGTCCTTCGAACCCCAGCCCGGCAGTCGGGATGCACCAACCAACGTCAACTTTGAAGTGAATAAGTGTTCTGATAAATCGTCGAAAACAACGTATCGAAAGATTCATACAAATAGGCTGGCTGCTCCCTCAATGCAACTGAACTGTCAACGTTCACTGGTAACAGCAGTCGCTTGCGACTCGTCACAAAATGCGAACAGCAATGGAAGGCGATTATCTTTTCCGTATAGTCGAACTGTGATTTTGGTCGGCAAGAAATATATCACAAATCACAAAGAACTGCACCGTTCTGCCAGTTAGTAACTCAAGGATGGCGCAGCGATCGTGAGGTCTGGTAATCTCAGCGTGCTTCGTAGACAAAGATTGCTGCTCTCTAGGGATACCTGCAAGCACTTCGGGCCATCTGACCTACCAGCCGCAGGAAGCCTAGCAACTTGGCCCTCCCATCTTGCTTTGATAGGAGTGTATCATCCAGCTTCAACTCACATGCAATCACAGGGTGTCGCACCAGCCCAGTGGACAAGCCCATCTTCAACCTTATGGACAACGTCCGTGTAATCGTTTCTGTTTGAATCCCCCGATCCGCCATAAGAGTGCTATGCTTCAACATGCGCACTACGTTACGGACTGGTCAACATGCAGAACTAAAACACTAGAGACTCAATCAATCGACATCTACTGTTTAGCGGAAACTCGTCGCAGAATTCGTTCAATGCTTCGAAGTCGCACACAGACAAACGGTGCTTGCTTGTCATTACTACATACCCCCTACTAACTGCAGTATTATGTTAAAGATGACTTCTATCATTAATTGAATGCGATCCTTCGTTACTGAGAAAGTAGGGATGCTGGCTGATGATCTGAACGACTAAGTTGGATAAATCTCCATTGATTGACTGCAGTTGGGAAGTCAACAAGGTGCAGAGTCCAGCGATGATATCGGAGAAACCTTGTACATATGTGAGGACGCTAGGCCATTGCCTTCGGTGACCTTAGCAGAGCGTCCGATAAAGCCCCACATCAACGGCTATTCTGCAAAGTGCCAATGGTGTCAATGGTAGCCTTTACTCAAGAATCGCGAACTTCCTGGGAGGCCGAACTAAGTTAGATCGACTACACGGCTTTCCCATCAAGTGGAGCTTGCCCACAAATTAGGCAAAATGTTGCACTATTCCGACTGATGCTTCTGAGTCACTTGTAATTTACCATATTGAAGTTCTTTTGTACCTACACTACTCAGGAGGAACGCCTGGGTGTAAAGATACCCTCTCACCTGAAATCATCTACGATAAGCTGAAGAAAGTCGCAGCTACAAGCGAAAATGTGTTCCTGCGCGACACCGAAGATCTTCACATGCCGCCGATTGGTGAATATGGTCAGTCACTTGCATTTCCCTTCTCAAAACTCGAGTTGGTCTTAATTAAAAAGGTATTTGGGCTTCGTGAATTCTCATACTCCCTTCGACCCCAGAAGATAAATCTCCTTTCACAGGCCTAATGTCGTCGCAATGGAAACATATTTACAAGGCGTATGTTAAGAGGTGTATCTGGGAATGAAAAATAGCAGTTTTCCAACTCAACATATGGGATTTGGCACGGACCACAACTGGTAGCTATTTGAACCGAGAAGGCTCCATGTCCACTCCGCTTTCGACTAATTCACTTAGATGGTAAATGACTGAGATAGTCTACCGGAGACCTTTGTCGATACAAATACTGAGAAAGGTTTCAAGCGGATGTTGAACTTATTTAAGAGGAAAGCCAGGTCCGCAATATTTCGTTGCGACTGCTACGCCCTACTGAGAGGTACCGAGTAAGAACGATATACATGCGCCTTGCATTGAACTAGAGAAGACGCGACTAAAATGAACCTTCCCTCTGCGCTCTACAAGCCAAGAAACTCAATAAAGCGTATCGGAGTTTGAGTTGGGTGACCCAGCCCAAATGACAAGCACGTAGGGACGCGGTTAATCGGTAGTCGAGGATATGGTCAAACTGAGTACAAGTTGTCACCCGATAGGTGACACGCAGGATTATGTGAACGCGCATACCGTAAGGATGTACTCCAGGTGTATGGATTGTGCTGAGCATAAAGTTCGAAGAACCTGTCATTATTATCGGAGACAGGTATGAAGCCATTATCGGCCTCAGGGGCGGTTTGGAATGCCAACCGGTCGTTAAGTCACTTATAAAAATCCCGATGCAAAATGGTGCGGTTATAAAAGTCAATAAATAATAACCTGGATGGCAATTTTCAAGTACCGAAAGAGGGGGAGTGAGACCAGTCGCGGGCTTTATGCGCAATTTTACATGACGCCGTTCCCTCACTGAGTGGACTTGATTTGATGAATCGAAACAAAGGACCACATTTTGTCACACATAAAAATACAAACTTCAACTACTTTAATTGTGAAACGCCAACAAACAGTAAGCGGTCCGGAAACATTTCCCATGAGTACATCGAAATATGGGAAATGGCCCAGAAAAGCCATGTAAAAATGCCTAAAAGACAGCTACAAGATCACGTACGTGCTCAAGTCCGATGGGCAATTAGAATCGCGCAGGAAACATGATAAGTGGTAGGCAACAGAGGGGTCACGGTTGCTCCCTGTGATCATGTGTCGTTCCTGAAACAGAGAACAGGCTAAAAGAAAATGGCTTCAGCCGTCACGTTAAATGATAGTTTACCCAAAATCTAAGCAGAGCCACAAGAATGGGCTTAAATAAGCTAAACTTTGAGTCGATTTTCATTGGAGTCAGCAAAGAAAACAGAGAATCATGAAGGCGATATTTACGGAAAAGCGAAGTCGATAAAGTGTCCGACGAGACAATGTATAATTGAAAGTTTGAGCACCAATAAGATAACGGGTAACCTACATCCGCAGCTAGAAACCACGCAGTATGGTTTTGTAGGCGTACCAATAGTGTACAAATAGTGATACGAGTCCTAAGCCCCATCACCATCAATACCCAATAGTTGAGGGTGAGAAACACCTCAACTGAATACTGTATTATAGAGCAAGTAGAAATGAATTCTGTACAACTTTTTCGAAATATGGTGAAAAACGTTATAAAATTTGTCAATCGTGAATATCGTTGTCGTTCTCATGTGATTCACAAATGTGATAAGTCATCGTGAGTGTGCAATCGTGCTCTGAATCGAATAGTGGTAAAATATAAATCTAACAACGTTCTGAATTGCTGCACAGATATTGTCTCCATCACATGTTCAGGCAAACGGTCATAAATATTTACCACTCTCCGTTCGAAGCAGTGTGTGGGGAACTCGCTTCACATCCGACACGACAAGTTTGTATGTGTCCGTGTGTGGTGCTTAGCACTTGTAAGTGTAACATTGATCTCAGTATGGGGAAGTCACCGAGATGTAGAATACGGTAGGTCATAATGAGGTCGACTCGCATTCGACGATAGGACAAGGTGTAGAGTCCTAGTTTCTTGCACCGGTCTTAATACCCTAAGTCACGTAAACGCTGGATGAGCCTGGTAGCAACGTGTTGGACCCGTTCGATCTTTTGTGCCTCGCCTCGGGCAATCGGAAAGTAGGCGAGCGAACCGTACTCTAGCGCTGGTCTAATGATGGAAGAGAAGAGGCGAGTGGCAACCTCCTCAAACCATGTACCGAAGCTACGTTTGAGCGCCCAAAGCATACGCAGTCCGTTATGATATAGCCTGTTCGTGTTGTCCACGGACTTCAAATCGTAGCATGAGAGTACACCTAGGTCCTTCAGGGAGGGTGTGGGATACAGCGGTTGGCTGTCAAGGGTGTAGATTCGGCCGCCAGCACCCTCAGGCTCCTAAATACAGATTTGGCTGGGTTGACCGGAAGATGAACCTCTGCAGATCATGTAGTTGGGCGGTTGAGGTCGTGTCGAAGTAGGCCACAGTCATCGGGAGCGTCAATTTCTCTCCACCTCTGCATGTCGTCCGCAAACAAGGCACACGGCGACCGGAGAAGCTGCGGTAGATCGTTGATGTGGATCAGGAACATTGGGCCCCAGCACAATGACTTGAGGTACGCCACTTGTAGAGGGATACCAGTCAGTTAGATGGTTGTCGACCTGTACCCTCCACATTCGTTCAATAAGAAAGTCGCGGATCCACCAGTGCAGTGAGCCACCGACACCGCACATCTTGAGTTTGTGTAGGATAACCTCATGGCTGACTTTGTCGAACGCATTGCTGAAATCGATGAATATCACGTCGACAGACTTCCCCTTGCTTATTGCCCTTAACCCCTTATACCTCGTCACAAGCAAGTTTGTAATGCATGAGCGGGCTTGTAGAAAACAGTGCTGTGCGAGAGTCAGGACCTCTTTTGACTGTAGCAACTGCAACTGTAGAGTGAAAACACACCAGCAGGTGCAGCCAGAGATCATGTCGTTCATCCCCGATTATGGAGTCACGTGAAATTTACGACCATGCGGTTTACATAAAATTTTTCGCAACAAGACCCGGTCGACCAGTCATCAATACCATAGTGGACACACCTGCTGACCATCACGTAGTGATTTGTATTCAGAGTGCAGCCTTTGAGTTGGTAGAGTTGAGCTGTGCAGCCAGGCATTAGCAGTAGGCCGACACCCATCGCAATGAGGCTGGACCTTACCGTGGTGCGATGGTTTGTGTGCCTCAGTGATCCATTGGGCTATACTGGGTGGTGCTTTTTTTTGGACCTTTAGAGCCACTCATACCAGATTGGTCAATGGTTAGAGGCCAGACAAACTCAGCCTCCTGGTCCTCCAGGTTGGGGGTTGGAATGGGGGTGGCTCCTCATTTCATAAAACGGGCTCTGTAGTCCAGTGCCAAAACCCGCTGCCTTGCGGTAAGGTTTTTGAACCAAAGGCTTTGGTTGAGAACCCTAATCGTTCTCCTGTCTAGGCCTGGGCAACCTGACAGTATTCTGCCCACGCAATACAATGAACCTTTCCTACAACAATTTCTTGATGCTCTGGCCGTCGCAGAGGATAATAAACGGCGCCCTATCTGCTGCATCGAGCAGGGTGGATAGGGGTTTGGATGCTACTGCTCAGGCCTTCCCGTCTTCTTATACCCCTTCTTGCGCTTCTGCATCCTTATTGTCCCGCTCCAACTTTACTTATATCCCCCCCATTTTCAATCCCCCAATTCTTGGCCCTCCCCCAGCTTACTTCAATAGTCGCTTGTCTTCTAATTTCAAATCACACACAATCGCAGGGCCTCGCTCCAATCCAGTCGATAAGTCCATGTTCAACCAAGCGGACAACGTCAGTTCATCCGTTTCCCTTTGGAGTCCTCGTGTCTCGCTAAGATTGGCATGCCTCAACGTGCGCACTTTGCTGCAGATTGGCCAACAGGCAGCACTTGCCCGCACACTAGAGACCCTATCGATCGATATTTGCTGTTTATCAGAAACCCGCCTGCAAGATTCGAGCTCCGTGCTTACCCTGAGATCCCCCACATGCGACACTGGCGGCACATTCTCATTGCGCCTATCTGGCGATGATGCAGCTTCAAATGCCGGTCAAGCCGGCGTCGGCATTGTTTTGAGTCCCCGGGCTGAAGCTGCCCTGCTTGATTGGATCCCAGTAAACAGTAGGATGTGCGCCGTTAGATTAGCTGGCTCGTTCCGTGCTTCGAAGTCGCGCGGGGACAAACGGTGCCTGTTTGTCATTGCGGCCTACGCCCCTACAAACTGTAGCACTGATTCGGTAAAAGATGATTTCTACCAGCAACTTCACGAGCTCCTTTGTTACAGAAGAAGCACGGATACTGTGGTGCTGGCTGGCGATCTAAACGCCCAAGTCGGAAAATTG